TCGTTTTTTTCTTCAAAAGGATTACACGCGTATAACCCTATAGATTTTAGTTTTGGGTTGGATCGCGTTAATGTGTCGTTAAACCCGCCACCACCCGACACAGCCAATTAGTAAGATTTGTCACGTAAACAAAACATGCCGATTCGTTACTAGTGTGTTGTGGAGAGCAAATCCACAACATTTACAATCCGAGTACGACGTTTCGCCAGTGATTACAACTACCATCATCAGGCGACAGGCAGATTCGTGGCGAAATCCTGCTTCGTTCTTAAATAGAGGGGATACATGTGCTGTGACTTGTGAGTACCTCAGGTGTAAAGGCCATTTGGGAGGGGAAGACGCTTATATTTAAGCGATCTAACTCATAATAACATCGTGTGGATATTAGTCGCGAAAGCCTACGTGTTAAACTGACTTAAACCCCCTCTTGGTCTATCCACTGCGAGATGAGTGCACGTCGTGGAGATTATTTCACCATACTTCACCACGTATGCGTCCTCGGAAGAAAAAAAAACACGGCCGTAAATAATAATTATGCAACGTTCACTTGGCCTGAAGACAAAACAATTCCATCTATGACCACAACAATTTCAAATAATAGGTCCCAAACGGCTTTTCAGCTCAGAAGTAGCGCAGACGGTTCTCTCAGCCCCTATGTTTTTTACAGCCCCCCCCCACGCCGCCACCACCCGAAGCAAGCGATGGAAATTCCACATTATTATGGCAGGGCCCGAAGTCGTCGCCAAGTGTTGACAAACAAACCCAGAGAGAGAGAGGACACTTTTGTAACTGTGCCACGCTTTTATAACGGCGACTACTCTACTGTTGAGTTTCAGGTCGCGCTCACATCAAGGCGCACACAGACAGAGAGAGAGACAAGAGAGATGAGCGAGGGTTTGGTAGTAAAGTCTGAGGGGAGAGACGCTTACAGCCTCAGCCGGCGACGAGGCGGCCTAATCGCCGACCGCCCCCGCTGCTGCTGTTGTTGTTGATGTTGCTGCTGCCCTACTCTGGCTCTATGAACCCTAAGAATCGCACAACAAGCCGGCAGCAGCGCCCCCCGCGGTGCCCCGATTCGTCGCCGCTAAGCCACCTCGCCCCCCCCCCGTTAAAACAAAGGGCGGCTGCCCCAAAAAAACAAAAACTGCGTCGCGTTCGGATAACGTTCTCGATAGTTTTTTTTGTTAACAAAATAAAGAATTAACCCGGCCAACGGCGATAAGTATTACTGTAGAATTTAAAGTAGCACAATCGATGGGAAAGATATTTTTCAACATTTTTTTTTCTCAAAGTCGAATCTGCACGCCGCAAGTGTCAAACCTGGGTTGACGCTACGCATTAAGCGGCCCTCTCGGCCACTGCAGTAGAAACACCGATTTAATTAAAACAATTTAAAACACCAGGGGGAATTAAACATCCTCGTCGTCGTCGTCGTCTTCGTCGTCTTATCCTCGAACTGTAACATTTTTTGGAAATACATTTCCGTGAGGGGAAAAAAAACCGATCAACAAAGCCAGACTCACCTCGACACAAAGCCCAGCGCTTGTCAGCAAGGGGTTTGTTTACATCGACTTCTCGCGAGATCTTGCGCGCTCGCTTGCGTGGAACCACCTCGCCCCCTCCAAGCCTCGCGAGATGTCGCCGTTGCGGGGGGGGGGGTGTGAAATAGGGCGGGTGGAAGAGGGGAAGGAGGTGAGTGGGGGGCGGTGGTGTGACGTAAGATACGGCGGTCTGATTGGTCGGCTGTGTCGGCCAATAGGAGTCGTGCCCTTTTGTTCACAGATCCATGTTGGTGGGGCTATTTTTGAGACGGCGCTACAGGTTAGGTGTGTAAATTAAATAGGTAATTTCGTTACATTCGTAGTCTGTAATTGGTATTTAAATGACCCACCACAAAAGTAATTGGTATTGTGTGTCAAAGCATATGTTTATTTTGTTTAACAAGTTGAGAAATGACCAGAGAGACCAGGGTTAGTCTCATTTGCGAGGTTTCCTGGGTCATCAAAATGAAAAAAGTGAAAACGTGGGATAAAAATACAACAATCAAGCGAATAGAAATCAGAGAACAAAAAAACTGCATTATAATACTGCACACACATAAATATGAAATAAAACTTGTCACGAAAGTTGGCTCGGACTAATCTAACTTAAATTACACAAAACACTGAATTTGTAATGTGTGCCTAATTTTAATGACTCAAGTAAAATTAGTATTTTGCCAATCTGAAATGTTTTTGTAATGACATACAGAAAAAAAAACCTCTCCATGCCAGGCTAATTGAATGGAGAACATTGTAAGTTATGGGGGCTGTCCAGCATACTGCAAATAAAGAATGCTTATTATATTTTTTTAGATGTAGTTAACGTCCAACATTTTAATTACGCATAATAACGTAACAGCAGTTGACTAAATATTTACAATTAAATAACACAACTCATTCAGTCACCATCATCGCAAAGCAGAGGTGGAGGGCTCAAGTTTACTGGGTTTGGAAAGCTGAACACATTTTCCTCATGGCCTTCAATAATGTATGTTATTGTAAAATCGTACCACTACAGTTTAAAAAAAAATAATCTGTGGCTCGAGTTTCCTGCATGGTTGCTGGCTGGGCTCCTCTTCACCCAAACAATAACTCTATAATCCATAAAAGGGTTTTTGTTTTTGCGGTAGATCGCGCAAATATAAACGTGGCGTTAAACCCACCAACACCGTTTCGCCCATTAGGCGGCCCATTAGGGGCGAAACGTCGGACTCGATTTGTAAATGTTGGTTCACTCTCGAAAACACACTGGTGTGCTGAACTAGTAACGAATTGGCATACTTTGTTTACGTGACAAACCTTACAAATTGACTGTGTAGAGTGGTGGTGGGTTTAGCGACACATTTAGATGTACGCAATCTTACCCCAAAAAAAACTTATTGTGGATAATACAGCATTGCTCTTTGGTTATTTCGGTAAAGTCACGTAGAAAATAAAATAAAATACGACGTTTCGTTTGCAACACAAGCAACAATCATCAGGTAAGAATGAATGACAAAACACAGACAGAAACAACATTCATTCGACTCCTAATATTCGCCTCTATGGCTACCCCATATCACTCATCTCCAAAGTCTGAAATGTCACTGCCAAACTCTTCACCCACACCCATAAATAAGATTGTACATATTCTTAGTTTTTTCGGTAAAGTCACGTTGAAGGGAAACAACAAAATAATATATATAAATATATATTATTGTTTTATATATATTTTATTATTTTGTTGTTTCCCTTCAACGTGACTTTACCGAAAAAACTAAGAATATGAATTACTGCAGTCACGAAAGCTTTAAATCAAAATTTAAGACTGTACATTTTTACCCAAGTCTCTGATTGCTCCACTGGCTCCCAATCCAATCCTGAATCAACTTTGAGATCACACCACCTCCATGTACTTGCCCCACTGAAGGCCATCATCTAGCAGTAGATTAACAACCGCGTTTCCACCATACATCTTAATTACGGACAGCGCATTATATATGCGATATTCACTGCAAACTGGTCTGTTTTGATACCTCAAATAGCTTTCATGGTTTGACATAGTTCCAAACAACTGATTGCCAGGATATAAATAAATGGCTTTAAAGCACAACACTTTTGGGTGTTACCTTTTGTTAAAATTAAAAGGTGTTTACCCTAAATAAAAAAAATCCGATTGGTTTCTGTCTTAGGCAATGCAATAAACGAATACTGTACAATTATACAACAGGCTTGACCAGTGGTGACACTTTGAAGGCTTAAACAGGTGCAGCATTTGCCTGCTTATAAAACCGTGCTTCGTGGAAAGGCACGAGTAACTCCATGGGAAACACAAGTTCAGAAGGTGCATTCAGAATTAGAATATTTATTTATACCGGAGGAATCGAACGAGCTATAAATATATTTTTCACATTTGTCCAGTAGGTTGTTGGTTCCAAAACGTTACAATAGAAAAGCACGATAATTGAGGGGTCACAAGGACATATGTACTCCCTTGTACACTGCAGTCACAGCGATGGGCAACATTTACATCAGAATCATTGGCTGGTAGAGGACACGCGTGTTCTCACTGTGGTCCCGTGGATTATTTCTCCGGGTCTTCCCCTCCACATTTTGAAACATGCGTCTGCATTATTTTTATTAGTTTGCTGCTAAAAATTTCCACAAGTCGCTATCATTTGTGGTCAGGCGGCTTCTAAAAAAAAGATAATCGCTCGGTGAGCTTTACCTGGTAAGATAAAAAGCTTAGTTTTATTTGTATCTATATTTAAAGTGATGTTTATACCTTCCTTATACTTTGCACTCCTATTGTGTTTTTGTATTGTTCATCGTTATAACGTTCTGACCCGTCCTCCTGGACATCTGTGAAAAAGGGCTTTATAGCTCATCGGATACTTCCAGAATATATTCTGATTCTGACATTTGATTAATAAACATCTCTATAATCGTAATACAATTGAAATATGTTCATGCCAGGTATACACTTGTAAAAATATATACCTTATCTTTTATGATTAGTTAAAACGTTATTATTGACAAATGATGAGACGAGACATTTACCCATTTGCCTTTAAAATAATTAATTTATTTGGCCGGTTCAGTGGTTGACCAAAATGTGTAATTTTTAGGTTTCGGCTAACGCCACCGATGGCACTTTAACAAAAATATAATAAACTTAAAAGCATGACAGATTCATGTTCAAACCAACATTGGGGAAAATCAGAACGTGAGCAAACTTCACAGTGCTATAGCACTGTAGCCTAAAAGCACACACTAGTAATGTGACCTCGTTATTGCTGCTCAACACGTTATTTTTTATTGCATGTACAGGGTAGATATAAGGAGTACAAGCTCACCGTAAACACATTCACCACACAGCAGTGGCAGCATATTCTGTGCCATTTGAATCGCAAACACACCGTTTCCAAAACGTTCATTGTACCCTCGTAAATACAACACGAAATATTGACACGAGATGAATTTATAGACTTATAAAACTATTTTATTCTCTTTATTATAATTACAATCGTATCAACATTGACAACTCAACGGTCTATAATTTGTTTCAAGTGTACAAGGTGTGATGTGGAAATGGACAAGATTGGCTGGCATTGTAATGCTGGACTGGGAAGAACCCGTGGGGGACCATAATTGTTCTCTGTCTGAGACTGATTAGATGCCAGTTGCACGCACCAAAAAAAATTCAAGTGATTTCCACCGAAGGAATTTTATGAAAATTGCCACAAGTGTTCTTGAGAATTGGCCCAGGCGCTGGGTAGACATGAGATGTTATGCTTCTTTCAGGGCGGCTTAGAGCGATCCCCTCAACATAAATGACACTTGCTCAAAGTAGCATGAAGGAGTTGCATAGCTATATACCTCACACTTGCAATACGGAGGTGAGCTTTGTTTAAACGAAGGCAACAAGTGATACTCAAATGTGGGTTTCGTCGGTTGTGCTGTACAGCCCTCCGATACATTTTCTGGTTGTACCGTGTGTTGTTCAGCATGATGTCCAACATATCGCTGCATGTGCTCGGAGCTTGTTGAGAAACTGAATGTTTTGTTGAGTTTCTGAAGAAGCTCCCTGGACGTAGACGTCAAGACTTGTCTAACAACACGCAGTACAACCCAAAAACACATCGCAGAGCGATAAGGCAATGTGGAACTAACTGTAAGCAACAACCGCCCCTCTTAATAATTTTAAAGGGGATTATGATGTTCAGAGAAACCTATTGCCATGGGCTCAATGTTATGTTCACTTTGACATTCACAATCGTTTTAACGTTTTTGAGATGACATGTAAATACTGTAGCCGATAACCGTTGCAGAAGAGTCTCTGCTAAAAGATAAAGTTGTATATTAAGTTAATATAAATATGGAATGTTTGCATGTTTGTGCAAATAATTTTTATTTCCGACCTGAGATTTTCATTATATTAATTACATTGCATAAGCTGCGATGCATATCGTGCAAGTGTGGATATAGCCAATCCTTTTATATTCAGCGATGCTCATTTATGGATTAAATTGTATATGAATAGCAACACTAAATAATATTGATGACGAATTCATAAAATAGGAAAGAAATAAAGTATCGATTCTGAATGATAAACTTTAGCCCATAAGAGTGTTGCTGTATGGGTTAGCATAAGTTATGCAAGTACTACACACTGTAGATACTACAGTAATTACTCATTTTATTTCAACATTGATTATGAGACTATCTTAACGGGGGAGGGTGAATATAGCAATATTCTATAATAAATAAAGTAGTAAATAAATAACTGCACTCTAAACACTGGTCTCCAAATTACAGTCCTTATGACCCACCATGATATAGATTTCCATGTTCTCTGCTCAACATACAAACTATATAATTACAATGCTACACACGTCGGTGTTAAACACGTCTCCTCTCAGATTGCCAATTGAAATTAAGATAGAGATCTTGTGTGTGTGTTTCAGGTGATCTCTGTAGCAAGCTTAATCCAAAACAGCATTACCTATATCATGCGAGGCGTGTTTAGAAATCATCAGGTACGTGCTGAAGGTAACAACTTAATTTGTGTTTGGACAGAGATTGCTAGACATGGGAAGGTATACCGTGTTAAGTCGTGAGGCCTGGGAGTTCAGAAAACCCTGCACTATAGAAATATAGGACTGTGAAAATTATCCCTCAACTACTGGAACGGCAATCGTGTTACACATTAAAGTGCAAATTCTCGACTTCGACAAGATCTAAATAGGCTGTTACAAAACAAGACCTAAAAAGTGTATTTCTACGTTTGATCAACTAAGCCTATCACTCAAGCTTTGAACATAAATACATCAGAGAAAAGAAACAACGTGCCACCTTTTTACGTGAAAAAAAAACAAGACCACTTTAATTGTTCCCATTTCAGCTAACAGAAAGGGCTGGGTATATAAGGCTTGAGGTATAGAGATTGGGCTAGGGTTTAAGCTAGGACTAGAGTTGCACCTTGTGCGAGGGTTTAAATTAAAGTTCATTGCTAGAGGTAGAGTTATCACCGGTGATGGGATCTCTACTTGAATTTAATAATTCTTGTATTGCACTACCTTGCACTGAAACAACATCATTACCTTGTAAAGACCAGCAAGTCGCATTCCAACTAAATTAAACAGACACAAACACAAATACAACTAAGTTATATTTCTTCATAAAATATGTATTTTCTGACCGTGGTGTCAAGGTCTTTCGAGACACAGGGGGCATTGAGAACTAAAATCAATGTATTATTTAGTTAAGCACAGTTTATTGGAAGTTGAGTTGGAGGCGCTCTCTCCCGAAGACAAAGGAGATGTGCAGCTCAGGGCTTCTTGGCCAGACGTGAAAAGGACGACGTCTCTGTACCACGCACAACACAAGCAGGACATGTTATTATGTATGCATGTTTGCACTGTGTGAAAAGTATTCCATCCTCAGTGTTTATCAAAACCCCACAAACCAGTCCTGAACAGCAGGGTTCTGGGAACCAGTTTTCAGTGAACTGAATGCACACCCCCATTCCTCCCCCCACCCAATTTCAAAGACCATTTTTTGTCAATGTCAATTAACCTTCGCATACATCATGTCCAGTGTGGTGGACTGCTACGTGATCACGCCCCATAACTTTTTGTTGTGTGCAGTCCTTTTCCCGAGGACGTCAACTGTTCAGTGTGGCCACCTAATGGTGGAACATGTGACTACTACGGCATAAACGGTGTAAAGCTGAGCTTGACATTCAAGGTGACGGCTGGTGGACACTCCGTAGTCAAAATAATAGACGTGATCAGAATTTTGTGAGGATATCTTATGAAAAATTATCAACTTATTTTGGGGGAGGGGGGAATTCATGCACGAGAGTGAAACGAAGACAAACACCCTCCCCCCCCCCCCAAAAAAAAGGTCTTATAGATACTTAGCCAAGCTGTGCATTCAAAGCAATCCGATACAAGTTGAGATTTTTTTACGATACATATATTTTTTTTATTAATAATGCTCTATTCATACAGAAAAGCCTCGTAGAGTCTTAAGACGTTTTAAGGAAGGTCCTGTCCATTGCCAATTCAATTCCTAAGTGAAATGAGAAAGGAAACCAGAGTATGCGGAGAAAGCTATACGAAAGAATAACAACACACAAAGTTGCATGCAAACACATTCATCTCATGACACTTCAGAACAACGCCACCACCTGCTTGATGTTACCAAGAATTGTCAACCATGCGATTTGGACATCGGCTGACGTTATGGTTTTTCTTCCCCCCCCCCTCAACCCCCAATTACTCCAGAAGATTGCGATTAGATAAAAGGTAAAGTTGCAGCCCTGTATTTGCTTGCTCATGCCACTGCTGGCAGAAGGGCCTCCACTAGATGGAGCTCTAGAGGACCAATCTATATGGTGTTTCTGGCCTACTCTTTCACACTGGCCAGAGTATATCCATGCTTTACCCCACACCTGATCGACTGTGGTTTTTGCCCATTTATACTGCGGGGTAGACAGAAGTGGAGGGAATTAAGACGAGTGCCCATTATTTCAATTGCTGTGCAGGGGACATCCACCGGGGTTTTAAGCATGAACCTCTGCAACAAGCGGTGAACACGCTACGACTTGGTACCTGTGTAGTAGGGCCCCAGGCGCAGCTGGATGGACTCCAGCTTGTTGATGAAGTCGTGCAGGAAGGAGTCGGGGTTCCTGTGCTCCTCAGCGCAAGGAACACTGTGGGAGGACCACGGTGAGCTGGAATACAGTGGAGGAGGGGGGGGAGGGTGCTCAATCATGAGTGTATAACTTTACAGAGAACTCACGCCGTTGCCTTTGTTATGTTGTAAATTTTTAAACTTTTTCCAGGTACGAATTTCTGTTTTGAATGCATGAGGTGGGGCTTTGTTTCACGTAAGCTGAAGCGAGGCAACTATAAATCTAATTTTTGAAACGACAGCAAAATTGTACCAGCATAAAAATCTGGGCTGAGATATGCTCAAAAGTGGTGAACATAATTTTTTGGGGGGGGAAGAACGGTTAGATGCCTTTTATCAAGGAAAGCCTCACTGAGTTTTATTTCAGGAAGGTCCTGCACTGGGATACTTGGCCAATTCTATGACATGAGTGTTTGGCATGTCAGAGAAAATCGGAGTGTCCAGAGAAACCCATGAATGACGAATTAACAGTGCACTGCACTGCTTTTTCCTGGCGAAGACCACGAGGCCGGCCCAGGACATGCTGGCGGGACTATGTCGCTTGGCTCGCCTGGGAATGCCTAGGAATTCCCCAGGAAAGCTAGAGTCTGTCGCCAGGGAAAGGGAGGTTTGGACCGCCACTACCCAACATGCTGCCGCCACGACCATCACCAAGACAAGCGGACTGAGAAACGAACGAACCTCCCAGCCCAACCCTATAACACCTGGGATTTCCTTTCCGTCTCCCATCCAAGTACGAACCAGGCTCATCATCCCGCTTCACTTTTATGATCTCAAAATATTGGGTGCATAGGTTCTCTCCTTTTTCTAGCAACAAAATAGGTCTTAGATGTTAAAACACCAAACTGAAACATTTTACAAGGAATCATGTCTGCATTAACCACAATACTTGTGGTCAGAGACAGCTGTCTCTGGTGTGGACCAATCAGTTTCAAAGACAATGCATATATTAGAGTGTTTTTTGTTTGCATTCTGACCACAAGTATTGTGATTAATGCAGACATGATTCCTTGTAAAAGGTTTCAGTTTGATGTTTTAACATCTTAACACCGCTGTTTTGTTGCCAAAATAAAGGGGAAAACCTATTCTCATATTTTGGTACTGGCAAAAGAGGTTTAATGATATTTTGGGTGCATTTAGAGTCATTTGATCGTAGGTATACATTTTATTGGGGCAGTGCCTAGGATTAAAAAAATATATTTCAGGGGAACGCCAACAAAGGTGCCAAAAAAGTAAATAAATTTTAGCAGATGCATGTATGTATGTTGAACTTCTTTTGCACCGTACGTAGCCAACCGCGCTAATCGGAGGTGCTGAAACCTTGCATTTTCTTGGACACATCTCAATCTGTTTCACACTGGATGCTTGAACATTCTACAATATCAACACTGATCTTCCACACTAAACTACAATATTTCCGGCAAGGTCCTGAAATATCTACCACACCCTGTTATAAGCTTCACCATCTATGCCTATATTCAAGGGTGAGTGTACGTATCAACGTTAGTTTATCTGTCAGGAAAATTCAAGGGTTAAGGATGATTTTCTTTAGGGGATAGAGGCAGGGCGAAGGTCAGCACTGGGCCATTACCTACTATAATCACCCAGAAATGTCTGTCCGTCCCGCACATGACGTCACTCCACGAGGCCCACCCCCCCCTCAATAATATTCATGAGTGGGTGGATTTTCACACTAACACAAAGGAAGGTCAAGCACTCCACTTGCCGCACCCCTCTCATTAATAATCATGAGCGGGTGACGTCACTCCACATGCCGCACCCCTCCAAAATAACCATTAGTGGGTGACGTCATTCCACATGGGGCAACCCCCCCCTCACTAATAATCATGAGCTGAACAACTTTTCTATTGAATATTTCAGACTTACTGCAAGCAATATACACCCGTCCTTGGACGGGCAAAAAAGCTAGCGGTATAAGAGCTCACCAGTTCCAAAAGTGTTCACGTTCTACTTCATCCAGACTATGACCACGGTAGTGTCGGCCTGCAGCAAAACACAGACACGGGTTACTACTGGTTCAACATTTTCACAATGGCAGGTGCGTCAACCATTACAATTCACACCACTGTTGGAATACATAAATAACAATGACCTCACTTGGGCACAAATTAACCTGGAAACCCAATTTTAAAAATACAACTATAATTTACAGGCATATGAAGCTGAACACATCTCAAAATGTTGTAGAGGACTGCAATTGGGAAAAGGAAATCAGAGGGAGGATGCTCATTTGTACTTCTTTAGAAAATTGTATACACAATCAACATCTTTATTTATCCTGGATAAATCAGATGAGCTGTGAAATTCCTTTTCACAGATGTGCAGTTGGGGCAGATCATAAAGCTACAACAAACAATACAGAGAAAAACGATAGGACTGCTAAGTATAGGGAAGGGTAAGCAAATCGCGACACTTGTTATTTTGCCAGGTAACGCCCAGTGAGCATCAGTTCTCTTTCAGAAGTGACCTGGCCACAAATGAAAGCTCAACCAAGTGGATTATCACGTGGATATGTATAGAGGCCAGATAATGTTAATTGATGTTATAGGCAGGTGCGATATTGAAAATTTAAAAAGAAAAAGAGCTTCTTTAGCTCAATAGGCCTTACATGCTTCAAGTAAAAGAACAGGTTAACCTCTCCCTGCAGACCCAGACGATCGGCCACCCGTGCATTCTACTTCAGCATTGCAATTATATGACCGCTTACACCTGTTGACATTGGTATGGATCTTGTACCATCATGGTTGGGGGAAAATGTGCGCGTTTGAAGGCCTGCCTTAATAGCTTTTGGTTTACAGTGTTGCCATAAGCATGCCGGTGCTCGTAATGCGACGGAACTGTTACCCGGTGTACTGAACGCCGCCACGGGCATGTCAACCTTCCAGCCATGTGCTGTACAGCCTCTTTGCCGCTGCTGTTTCTGCAGAAGCATCCTCAATCTGCAACGGAGGACAAAAAAATATTGTGGTGTTAATTTAAAGTGCATAGGACCTGTTTTAAATTAACTTGCCCAAGGTGAAGTCCACTGCACAATTTTTATCCATCTCATCTGATCCCACTCTCTTCTCCCCACATCACACAACACCACACCCGAAACGAGGGTTCTTGAGCCACAACTATAGAAGAACAGTTTAATTGGTTTCCCCTTACATTCTGCATACATCTCTTAGCTGACACCATCACTTTCTGCAATTTAACGCAATACGTAATATCCCAGGATCACAGATTTAAGAAACTATTCTCACTTCTATGTACCTCTGTTTTACTCTGGTCGCTTGATCTGTCCATACGCCCGTTCTTGTTAAACATTGTCCAATATCCGCCTTCTTTTCCAACGTCTTGGTTTTCCGCCAAAGGAATCCTCTTTCAAATCACCTCTTCCAGAAAGCTGCTCCCTCTCACTACCACCGAACTAATCAAGATTATCTTCTTTGGTTCTTTCGGTAAAGTCACAGAATGAGAATAAAATAATAAATTGATAAAATAAAATAACACAATAATATTCTCACGACGTTTCGGCCACAACACAAGCGGCCTTCACCTGATGAAACGTCGTGAGAATATTATTGTGTTATTTTATCAATTTATTATTTTATTCTCATTCTACGTGACTTTACCGAAAGAACCAAAGAAGATGAATCCTTGCAGTCACGAAATCTTTAAATCGAAATTTAATCCAGATTATTTTATTCCTCTCGCTAATTTATTGAATGAGTTCACATTCTCCTCCCAGCTGTCGCAGCACCTCTTCGTCAGCTTAAAGAGCGACGAAGCCGAAATAACCCCCTCGGTCTGTCTGTCGTATACAAACCTTGTTGCTGCAGCTATACTCTCACCCTTTTGTTCAATGTCTTATTTATTACATCAATCCAACTCGTCGTTCCTCCCTTTGCTTCTCATTCTTTACACAGATAACCAACAGACCCTCCCTCCCCTGCTGTGGGTACAAGACAAAGATCCCCCGAAAAGCCTTTAGCATACTGTTCAGGCAAGTGCTGTTAGCGAGTAGCACCTATAAAGGCCGGCACGGCACACGAGAGGGTAGGTGGCCAGTACCACGTCCAACCACCTTTGTCTCCCTAATGGCGATGTTTACACCGCACTAGGTACTCATTTAAGGCTAAGTCGACCTAGGGGAGGCCCAGTACCGGTTCGGATAATCGCCACCGGTGCTGGCTGCGAGCGGGAATCGAACTCGGCTCGCCCAGTTCGCAGAACAGCCGCGCTAACCGCTACACCGCCACTCCCCACAATACAATACCACAGCCGCGGGTGCAATACACAAGCTTCACCTGCAGGTGGCGGCGACAGCTCGGGCCACGACGCGGAAGCGCCGTCGCGTAGCTGCGTCGGCGGCCGTTTCCCGCGCGATGAGCAGCAGCTCCACGCGAGGGCGGGCCAGCAGAGCGAGCGCCGGCTGCTCCGTGCCAGCGAAGGAGCCGAGCACGAGCAGCAGGTAGCGCTTCTGGTGAAGCAGGGCGCGGCGCTGGCTCTCGGCTCTCGTGAACCGCCGGTGCAGCGACTGGAACTGTGGTTGGTGCAGTTGACAAGAGGTGGGGATTTACAATATGCCGTTAAGAGTGGGGGGGGGGGGATTTACAATATGCTGTTAAGAGTCACTAATTTTAAATTATGAATTCGAATGGTTTGGAAATAAACATATATAATAAGGTCAAGGTGCAGTCCTGCAGATGCTTGCTCATGCCAGCCCGCTGGCAGAAGGGCCTCCCCTACAGGGAGCTCTAGAGAGCCCCTGCATAAGGTATTTTGGCCTAACTAATCATTGCTGGCCAGATGTCGTAGAAGTTGTGGGAATCGGCACACTTTAATCCACCTAGAGTAAGTCCACCGTGGAGATGGAGCAACAAGATCAGCTCTTGTGTAGGTGCTTGACCACAGTGGCACCGTGTGACCATGAGGAATGGTGATGACTTGGGGAGACCGTCAACTAGCAGTGGACAGATCATGGCTGACGATGCTGTTGACGAGCCGAATGCTGCCATTGTAATAAAACGCGCAAAATATTAAATAAACCCTCTCGTCGTGTAAAAGAGAGTTTGCACTCGCCTTTCCGATGGGAACGCAGAGCATCGCTCGCTCTGTGGCCGGGCTGCCGCGGCTGGCCCTACGTGGCGGCGGCGCCGGCTGGCGGTCGCTCCTCCAGGTGGGAGCCGGCTCGGGGCCGCCCGCGAGCCGCGGGGGCGGCGTACACGCGCGCTGCTGCAGCAAGCGAGTCAGGTCCAGCACGACGGCGTTCAGCGCCTCCTTCTCCTCGGAGAGCACCGTCACGCGGCCGTACAGCTCGCTCAGCTGCCGCGCCACGCGGCCCAACGGGTCCCCGCTCGCCAGTTGCGAATCCTGATCGCCGCGCCGGGGACGAACAACGACGACGACGATGATCACGGTTTCAAATTAAGACGTCGTCTCAATGCAATCGTTTGTCAAGATAATCTGCCCGAGTGCGACTTACGCTAACAGGTCTAACTGCAATCATATCTCAAGACGCTTTACAAAGAATTACAATGTATGTAGTTTGCATTGCAATAAACTTCTCAGGTCACACGAATGAGCTTCTGATGCAATGCTGACAGCGCTCTTTTATGGGGCTCCTCAATTGGGAATTTGGAGAGAGTCCTACTAAGTTGGGTTCGGTGGTACACACACATCTACAGCAGTGCTTCCGGGGCAAGGGTTGGTCAATTGCAACAATTTTTTTTATCTTATACCCCTGCAAGAACACGGCAACACCGCAAATGGGTTCGGAAAGCTATCTGTGCAGATCTTGTGAGTGTTATGCCTTCGTATGTGCGAGTCTTCTCTGCGTAGTCCTGCGCTCTCCCCAAAAAAACATGACCTAAAAATGAACTGCGAAAACAGTACCGCTTGAAAATGTATTGCGACTCAATAATGCTTTCCCGGATAGATAAATAAGAATGTCATATTATGTTACTAAGAACAAATAACATTTATAAAGCACTTTTCTACAAGGCACTCAAGGCGCTGGTTAAGCATGGTCTAGGCTTGAGCATGCATACCTCCTGGGCCCCTCCAGCCCGTAGGCCCCAGCGAAGTTGCAATGCTTGCTTTCTCCATAGCTATGCCACTGGTCATCAGCAAATCTGAGACGTTATCAGTACATGCCAACACTCCATAAACGACTTCTGAGGTTTCTCCCACAAATCGGGATCAGACGGAAAAAAAATCACTCGGTGTGGAGGGGGAATGAAGGGGGGGCGGCCGTTACCCATGTCAGATCGGCCTCCGAGTGGGCAATCTCAGCGTCGAGCTCCTTCAAACGTCGCAAGAGCTGTGCCAGCTCCTCATCCCGAGTCAAGTCAACCACAGAGATAACCCTGGGGGGCACGGCAAGAGCACAGAGGGCACAGTTACTTGGTGTTGTGTGAATGTGGCTGATGACAAATCGCCCAGAATACACCTCATCCGGCACCTCTGATTAGCACGGTTAGCTACGTACGGTGCGAAAGAAGTTCAACATACATCTCGTCATATCTCGGAACCGAAGCTGGGTTTAACCTGGATCGTGATTTGATGGGCGACAAAAACATGCACAAATAGGTTGCTGTAGGCGGATGTCTAGCGCTGGTGGGCAGCAGAAGGACGTGCAGCAAAATCCATTGTTGTGATAAATAATTTTTGCACCCTCATCTGCGATCCCCACCTTCCAACCCGTACCGAACAGCATTGTGAAGTATGGTCAAATAACCCCCACGACCTTTACTGCATGAGGGGCCCTCATCGAGTCGTTGATTGGCAAAGAGGGCTGTACGTGTGAATGAAAAGCATTGATATAGATGCCAAAGGCTCTTGTTAATTATTTATAATTGCCAAAATTGATCTCCTTTAACATTTGCTTGTTGCCAAAGTAGGATCGAAAGAAACGTTTGCCAGAATATGGGCCATTGAACCCCAGAAAGTAATTGGCAGTTGTCCAACTGACAAGTGAAACCAGTGTGTAATCTTCAAACCTAAGCCAGCATCAATGGAACATTTGACATTGGAAGCTAAATAAGCCAAAGCCTCGTTTGTAATTGGAGAAAATTATTAACAATAGAGGCAAATTAGAGCTGCATATTTTGACGCAGCCGACCATTAGAAACCATGGCTTGGATTCAAACAGGCAACCCCAATGTTTTGAGTTTAAATGGTGACCACTACGCATGTTAGCTGGTTTGCGCGAGAAGCAGCAAAACGGCTCAACATACCTGATGCTTATCTGGGCGAGCAGGTCTCTGGTGGTCGTTGACACGAGCTGCAGTCTTCTGCATGCACACTGCAGCAGACCGTGGCGTCTCGTGAGATCGGTGCTGTCGGAGGAGAGACCAGCTGTGCGACTGCTGCTGCTGCCACCGTCACATGCGACCAAGACAGACCCCTCGCTAGGCCGGGCTATGTCCCCGTTCCCATTGGTCATCTCCGTGTCAGCCGTCCCCTCCTCCGTCCGGGAGCCACTCAGGAGGGAAAGTTTCTCTGCAGCCTAAGAGAGAGAGAGAGAGAATTTGTTCGGTACTTAAATATTCCTGATGGCACTTTGTGAATCCACTGCTGGATGAGGGGCCGGCCCACCACACTGTGTCGGTCATGGGAGCCGTTTGGTCATACTTCACCACACTGGCCAGCGCATGGTGGTGAATGGGGGGCCTACGACCTGTTCGGATAATACTCATCACTAATCTTAGGTAAGTTCAGCAGTGGCCAGGGAATGAACTCAGGTAGTCGGGTTCTTAGTGCAGGACGCTAACTATGGCACCACCGTAGCTAGTTTATACAGTATTCCAATACTGTTCGTACTAAGTATGGAATTATTGAGGACACCCTCTGCCCCTAGTTATTTAATAAACTGTTATGATTTAGCGTCATGATTTTGTTGCCTCATATTTCCAATCTCATTTGTTAAATATTAATGTTATACATCTATAAATAATATTGGTCTCGAAAGCCTATGTGTTAAACAGTGATTATTCTTTTTTTTTCTGTGACCAGTCACTAGCAAATCACCCAGTTATTTCAATGCTAAATTCGCCTAGTTATTTCAATGCTAAATTATCCTGTTTTGATTTGTACTAAGTGCCTCGGTGAATGTGTATGCTCTGACTTCAACGTAACTATTTCTGTAGCAGTTACAAGCGAATGCCTTAATTTAGCTATTTCAATGCTAAATTCTATGCTAATTCCTTTTAACAATGGGTGCCTCTGCGGATGTGTATGCTTTAACTTTTAACATAGCTATTTCTGTGACCAGTCACAAGCTAATCATTCAGCCTTTTCAATGCTAAATTTTATGCTAATTCCTTCGTCAAGGCTCTTTGTTCCTCTCACACAGCTTAAAAGCCGTGATCTGAACGTGGCTCTCTCACTCCAGCGCTGTCCTACCAGACAGTCTCGCTCCCTTCACCTGATGAAGGCCGCTTGTGTTGTGGCCGAAACGTCGTGAGAATATTATTGTGTTATTTTATTTTATCAATTTATTATTTTGTTCTCATTCTACGTGACTTTACCGAAAGAACCAAAGAAGAAAAAGTGATTATTCTATTCGGCTCAATGTAATATTAATCGATTAATTGATGTTTTGTTATCCCTAAAATGCATTTATGTACCGTTTTTATTCAGATAAATCTGTAACCAAACTATGGTACAAGTTTTCATGATTACATTTATATTCAGGTTTCATTTAGATATTACAATTATTATTTGTAAGCAGACATCTTACCAGAAAAAAAAAACAATTATCCATGCCATTTACAAGCAATACCTTACATATTACCTTTCGCACATCTCTCCCAGTTCATCACAGTGGATTGTGGACACAAGACAAATATTCCCCATATGGCCTTAACAGGCTGTTTGGGGAAGTGCTGTTAAGCGAGTACCTATGAAGGCCGGCACGGTACACGAGGGGGTGGGTGGCCAGCACCACGCCCGACCGCCTTTGACTCCCGAGTGGCGATGTTTACACACCACATGAGGTACTTATTTGAGGCTGAGTCGACCTAGGGGAGGCCCAGGACCGGTTCAGACAATTCTAATCGATTACAATCGTCACTGGTGTTGGCATCGAGCGGGAATCAAACTCAGGTCGCTGGGTTCATAGCTCAGCGCGCAAACCGCTAAACTACCACTCCCTTTGGACACACACATACAGACACACAGACGAAATGTCATATAGATAACCCTGAACATATCCCATAGGTATGTCTCGCCTTGACACATGTGCTTGCTTGCATCTCTGTCCCAACTCCAGAAGCAGAATCTTCAATCACAGGCAGGCTCGGCCCATCTGGCTCTTCCCGCCGAATCTCCACGTGCTTCGATTGATCTCCACAGTCCGTGCCACCTGGCGTGGCTCCTTCCACCAGCTCGCAGGGGGATCCCGTCCTCTGCTCGACGTCCAAATCTCCTCGGCTCGTAGAGCGGTCGCCCCACGAGGGGACACTCCCAGCCACGTCCGAGTCGCCGCCGACAGCCGGGCGCGACCGCTCCCGCTGCAGAACCTGCAGCCGCTGCCGAAGGTGCTGACAGGCCTCTCTCTCCATCCTCAGAGCCTCCACGAGGCCATCCCTCTCCGCTTCAAGCTGCGTGCACGTTCCGCATGGCACTGCCACCGGTGGCGTGGCTCGTGCCACCCTGCTCGAAGGCTTCGTCTGGGAGGCGGGCTCCCTCTTAATGTTTGCGGACCTGCCCGCGGGCTTTTGTTTGTTCATCGTCTCTGTTCTGGAAAGCTTCCTCGTCTCCGCAGGGATAGTTCCCTGGGAGGGGGAGCTGCCACGACAAGGTCCAGATTTCTGCCAGCCTCTTGCCAGATGCTTTTGCGGGGGTACAGTGTCCGAGTGCAGATGCTGGCCTTGGATGGGATGTCCAGAATCTGCAACACTTAGGGCAGCCTTTGTGCACACAGTATCACTTTTTGTGTCCGTGACAGGCTCGGGCATCGGTCCCTCAAGAGCAGCCAAAAGCAACTGCTGAGATGGCAGATTTTTGGACATTGTTGCAGCGGCTTTGTCCTTAGCGACCTTGGATAACTGTGTTTGTTGCCTTCCGTCAGAGTCTGCATCTGAAGGTTCAGCTGCATCCTGTTGTATTACATGCAACAGAAGCACACGAATATTAATATAAATTTAGTTCATACCAATGCATACAAGAGTAAAGGAGCTTATATGAACAGAAAAATAATGATGGGGAAGACCGCAAATGAGATGGAGAGATAGGATTAATGAAGACCCGGAGAGAAGGGGAATCACGGTGGCCGATGCAAATGACGGTGGCAGTACTGAATGTTTTGTAACGTTCCCCACATTGTTACTGAAGCTTTAGGATAAGGGAATATAAACGTAGCTCACAGGGCTTCCAGAGTAACCAGTTTACGTTTAACAATGCACCAATCAATAAACTTAAATACATCCCTTCTCAATATTTACAATAATAAGATTACATGCGTGTACAAATAACAAAACAAAGATACATGGGAATGGGAGATCCCACACGTACCTCCTCGCTGTGCGATCCGCTCTCTCCCGCCAGCTCCACTGCTCCTTGCAGTGTGGACATGCAAACTCTCAAGGCCTCCAGCTCCTCTTCCTTCTGCACCAGGGCCAGCCTGTTTTGCACAAACAAATGGACAATTCAAAAGGTGGCGTGACGTGCCAGTTATGATAAACAAAGAACTGGGATGGCACCAGTTGATTGGTTCGCCAGTATCGTGCTGCATCACAGACAGGCATGCAGTTAACATCCAAGTTTTAAGCCCCCTGCTTGAACAAGGCTTAATTCTCACTCACAATACCATCTAAGAACCCTGCTGATAACCAGAGCCACCTGTCCAACAATTGGCTCCTCTGTTGGCTCTCTGCACCATCTGTTCAACCCAACGGTATATTTCACAGATCGATGTTCCTTCCCTGCCTAAAGGCCTTCCACCACGCTTGTTTTGGCCACACTTTTTTGTAATGTTTCCCCAATTTAATCCCAATTGTGCTATCAGCATCATGTCATGAGACAGTACCCGTTCGATTCTCACACAGCAGTAGATCTTTTCATGTTCAAGATTCTTTAAAACGACACGTGGTCCAAGCAGGAGGAGGCAGCACTTTCCCCACTCGCTCTGCATGAGAGTGTTGTGCTTCAACATGAATTGGGGCGCTACTGTGGCGAGATGTTAACTACCTGACTTGGTATGCCGAAGGTCGTGGGTTCAATCCCGACCATGATGCTTGTATATTTGGAGTTTGCATGTTCTGCCTGTGGTCGCGCAGATTTTTTTCCTCCGGGTCCTCTGGTTTTTTCCCTCCACATTTAGAATCAACATGCCTTTAGAGTATTTGCCAACTAAAAATGTACACAAGCCACTTCTTTGAGCTATCATTTGTGGCCAGGTTACTTCTGAAAAAGAGCCATATAGCTCAGTGGGCTTTACCTGGTAAAATACAAAAAAATGTTGGTTACTTTCAACCCAAGATTTAGCCAAATTAAAGTGCACAACCAAATTTAATGACTTTTTTTGTACTCTCATTGGTGACCGGCCTGAGACCATTAACTCCGTACACTTGAGAACCCAGCTGCCTGGATTTTAATTCAGGTTCTCAGCGGTGTCAGTTCTGCACTCGAGCCTCTGAGCCATCCAACCACCGCCTTCCCGTACACTTGTTCACACTTTCCTGTTTCGAGATATCTGCAAGTTGCGTAGTGGGTCCCGTTCACCGCCGAATTTTGGAATGTGCACGCGGTTCAGCGTTAATTTAATTGAGGCATAGCACTGTTGTTTTTAAAGATATGGTACTCACGCAGAGAACTGTCGCGACACGGCCGCACTCTTATGATAGCTGGCGCCATGCATTTAAGATCAGCCCCAGCCCTTGGCTCGTGCTGAGCTCAAGCCTCTCCCCACTACCCAAACTCACTGTATGCTCTTGAGGCCATGCTCTTACCGGAGTGCGTGCACCTCCTCCAGGGAAGCCCTCTGGACATCCACTGCAGCCTGCAGTGCTGCTTGGCTGCTGGGCATGTCCCATCGCTTTGCATCGTCTTTGTCCACCTGGGCGCCGCACTGCCATTCCAACACGGGGGACACAGAGGGACACGTGGCTGTTGCTAACGGAATTGCAGTGTTCTCGCTCTTGAGTGAGTTTAACAACTCACAGACATTGACGATGTTAACTTTTAATGAGATATGCAAGGATGGACTGATCTATCATCATTACGCTTATGACACAGGCATGGAATCATGCATGTGAGAATCAATTATGAACTAATTGTACGTTGTAACGGGTTTGCATGACCAGTGCGGCCACGAGGAGGCACTAAAAATTCACCCATGTTGTTGAAATTTTTTTCTTGAATTGATCTGCGACCCCCTGAATCGTGCCAAGTTACCAAACTGAGGGGGGGGGGACAGAAGGAATCATTACATACGAAATATTACGAGGATATGGCAAGCTATTTTCAGGTTTACACCGTCAGGTTGAAATACCTTTATAGGTCACCAGCTTGCCCCTCCAATTTTTTGCGACATCCATTACGGTGCAACCGAATGCTACCACCATAGAGCACAGTGGAAATCATATAAAGTGTTGACTTAAGTTTTAGAAGCTTATCGATCGTTTGCATGAAATGGGAAAATTAGGGTAAAATATGTAAAAAATAATTAAAAATTAACCCTGCACATTTATCCAAAAAATAGAATGGACAGTATTTGTAGTGCTTACATTACACAAAACATGCTTTTTCAACTTAAGGCTTCTGCGGATTTCGATGACTATGCAAATAAGTCACAGCCAGAAGCAATATGCAGACATACCAACATTAACAGAATTCTTACCTTTGAGGTCACCTCTGCCCTAAAAAAACAATGTCACTAACGTCACCCGCCACACATGACCCTGCTAGTTCACGAGCTTCGCTTATGGTCCTGGGTTAAGGTACCCGGGTGACCATGTGACGGAAACTTGCCAAACAAAACCACCGCCTATCAGAATGTGCTTTGCTGGCATTATTTACACAAGGAGCAGGTTTTGGATATGGGAGGTGCTGGTCGGTTTAAATGTCTATAGCAAGGTTGGGTAACATTTTTTTTGCAGAGGGCCAAATTATGACTTTTAAATACCTTTGGTGGCCCACACAATAAACACACACCTCGGCCTTTGCAGTGACAGAACTGACCGAGGGCGCTAAAATTAGAGACGGTATTGGCAGGTCAAAAATATTTCCCTCCAATACCCCACTGGTGTAGCTACGATGCTTTCAGTCACAGGCCGATGTCATCTGCGGACTGTTTTGAACTGCTAGGCTTCATATGGTTATGGGCCGTATAAATTAAAGTTAAGGAACGCATCCGGCCCACGACTCAAGAGGATTCCCTGCCACTAGTCGATAACCAAATGGACTACACCTGGATGTGAGCAATCATTCAAGGAACACGGGCAAGAAGATTTTATCTAGAAACTTACCTGTTGGCTGCTTTTGGCCAACTTCACACATGAAATCTGAAAGTGGCTTTTTCAAAGTGGGGTGTCCTGAAAAAACAATCACTTTGTAGTTGGGAAACTGAATTTGGAGAGGTTAATGGAAAGAGGACTCACTGTTACACCCATAATAAGGATGCGAGTAAAAGCCACGTGTTCACGTACCGTACCTCATGGGTCATTGAACGCAGAGAACAGAATTATCGATGCAATCGAGTTTTAATGTTGACATTTAGCAAGAAAGTGTCGGCTACAGACAGGGCAGACATGTCTTGCATGCTCATGCGCCTGGAAGGTTTACTGGCGCTGAAAACAAGACCTGTAATTTTCGTTTTATTTGCTTTGTTCCGGCCCCAGCTTCCATTCCAGGTCTTGGCGGCAACTGCATGTGGTAGACCTGGAGATTGTGCTGAAAATTCGATTTCTTTCCAAAAACGCAGCTTCAATCTGTTGTTTATCATTAAGTTACTGGCTCGTGCTAATTTATTCAATCGTGTTAAATGCACAGCATGTGAATATTAACACAAATACATACCCTGGTGTGTAATGAATACAAAAATTAGTTTCGGCTGCTATGGTGAATTGTGTTACATGACAACCAACTGCTACCCCCCCCCCCCCCCTCACTTAGTGTCCACAAATCATTTGGGAATTAAATAATTTATAATTGCAGAGGTCATTAGTAAAATATTAGTTTTCATGACGTACATTACACCATTTATAACAGAACGTGTTTACGAATTAAGACTTCCAAGAAGTTTAATATCAAACTTCATAATTCTGGACATGTAATTTGCACGTATATACAACGCGATTTTCTAAGAAAGTAAGGAGAAAGTTTAGGCGACAGTGCAAGTGGTTAAATCGCTTCATAAGGGAATTTAAGAATGCAATGCACAAAACTCAAAGACTTGAGACAGCAAATCAGTGCACACTAGGAGTTGACAGGCGTTAATTCGGACCAAGCTGGCAAAAAGATGTGCTTGAAGGGCCGCATAAAAGCCAAGCCAATGATGACAAAGATGTGCAACAGTTTGCGTTTCAACATGTATTGTCACAGTCAAAGAAAATGCGTTAATATATTTGCAGTACAAGTGAACACTTTATGATCAGTTAGTCAGGCACAACACAGACAAAATATTTATGGCAAGTAAAACTCGATGCATCCAATTGGGTTTTGACATAGGGCCATGGCCTCTTTGTTATGTCAATGGATCACACTCGGATTAGCACGGTTGGCTACGTACGGTGTTAATTAAGTTCAACATACATACATACAGATGTCTGTATGACAAACATCTCCCACCCACATATTAATACATGTTACACTCTTCAATGCTGCAATATTGGAATTCATCGATATTGTTCATGTTGAGAGACACCGACCACAAAATAGGATGCTCATCATGGTCAGCGTATTTAGCAGGAATGGCTGGGAACAAACCTGAAGCTCTGGCAGTCATTTGGAAACACGGCCAGATCATCAGCTGCTCTTGCATGAATAATGTTTGGCTTTGGAGTTTTAAATTTGCAACAGTTTTTTAAGAGTTTTGTATCGAAGGCCATATCCCAATGAAGGCATGGAATAACAATATGAAAGACACACAAGCACACGTTTGTCATTCTTATGGGGTTAGGACACAGATTTGGCGAAGCAAGAAGCCATTGGCAGGAGGGTTATTCATAATAAAGTTTATTGTGACGTGTATATGATGTGTATATATTAAACATATGTACTCCGAGTCCTTATCTCCCCAAGACAACATTATTAATCATAAATTCCCCTGTTAATTGCACTTGCGAGTTTGATTTCTTTGCCACATTCCAAATAGCTATTTCATATCTATACAAATATTTACACTTTCATTTCCATTTGCTTAAAATGTAAAGACATGCACAATCATTAGTTAAAAATAAACTGTCATCAATATATATGCACATAAAATATAGCCACAGCGGTTAGTGTAACAGAAACGTCCATTGCACCAGAAATTCAAGCGTCTGCCAGGCATTTAAACACCCCCTCCCTCCCATTCTGACTCCCTCACCAAGCCCAGTTGTTAAAAACACTCACAGGCAGGGCTTAATTTCTCACCGAACATTTCCTACGTCACTCGTGGACTGGAGTGGGTAGCACACAACTAGCAGTAACGGCCAGAGCGAGAGGTATACGGGACATGGCACGCCGGGTGCAGCAGAGATTAAGCCCCGCTCACAGGTATATCGTGACCGTTTTACAGAGGACATGCGAGGCCGCCACGCTGCTCGACTGGCCGCCGCCGCCGCCGCCGCCGCCGCCGCCGCCACCCTCCGGGCCGACCGCCTCTACCCTTGCGGCCGCTCCTCCACCCCCCGGCAGGATAATCCGCACCAACCCCTCGCCTGGAGCCCACAGCCTATCCAGCCTCCGGGTGAGCTCGCTCATCCTGCTCCTCTGCCTGGCCACGTGCTGCCACAACGGGGGACCCGCACTCGCGTCCCGCAGTACCTGGACGGCGGTGCGGCCTCCGTGCTCCCGACGCTGCTCGCCTTTGCCGTCTTCGCCGAATGCCGCTGCGGTGGCGGCGGCGGCGGCGGCGGCGGCATTCGGGCGCGAGGCCTCGGCGGTGGCGGCGGCGTCAGTCTGTGACCACATCGCAGAGTGGGCGGCATCTGCTCCTGGACACTCCGACTCTGGGTTTGATGCACCGGTGGTAGCTGTCGTGGTGGTGTCGAAATGCTGAGCGGGTTCCCGGTCAGCGGCCGCGCTTGTTTGTTGGGGCAAAGCGGGCGATGTTTTGCCGCTGCCCAGGCTGTCCGCTTGCTCGTGGCTCTCGTCCATGAAGCCGCTGTACACCGACTGCAGCTCCTGGATGCGGAACTCCATCGTATCGATCTCGTCGTCCTTCTGCGAGAGCTGCCACTTGAGACTCGTGTAGTCTTTCCTGAGCGAATGGAACTGGTGCCTCAGCACCTCCAGCTCAACGATGTGAGCGCGCAACGAGCGGATTTCTGTGTTCTGCCACTCAAGTTGTGCGCAAAGGGATTGGTAGCTTCGTATGGCCTCGCCAGGCGGACCCTCGGCTGCCTCTTGAACGGGTGGAATCAGCATCGTCTGCATCTCAACGTTCTTCACAGCAAGCCGATCTTTCAGTCCATCGCAGTCCCTCGCCACGTAATCCAGCTGCTGTTTGAGCGTCTCTAGCTCTGCGACGCACAGCTCAAATTTCTCAGCCTCCACCTCCTTCTGGCTCAGCTGCGACCGCAGGGTCTCGGCACCACGTGACATGGAGTTGAGTCGCTCCTTCAGGTGGTCCACCTCAGAAATGCACGACTGAAGACACTGGAGCTCTGGATCCTTACCGGCGGCGAGAGTTAAGTGCGCGACGTCAGACGGGTCTTGCGCGCCGTGTTCGGGTTCCTCCCTGCAGCCTCCTTCAAGGCCCCGTCTCCCGAGCCTGAGCTCGCAGACCAGCGACTGCAGTGACACGATCGCCGACTCTTTTTGCACGAGCTGGCGTTTCAGGCCGTGGAAGATTGTTTCCATCTCCTTCACTTGACGTCCCAAGGGTTGTAACTCCTGTATTTTTTCCTGCAAGGACACTATCTCGTCTTGCTTTTGTAACACCTGCTTCCGAAGGGCGAAGGAATCACCGTTGAGGAGAGCGCCATTTCCACCTGCAGTTTCTTCGCCCCTGACCGAGGCATTTAGGTCTTCGAGAGATACCTGGAAGTGCGTGAACGTGGATTTTTTCATTTTTTGCTTCACCTCGGCCGACTGTTGCTGGTCGCCCCAAGCTTGAACCTGCTGTTGCAGCAGCTCCACCTCGGTGTCCTTTATGTCGAGCAAAACCTGCAACGAGTGGAGCTCGGCTTCCAGGGACCTAAACAACTCAGCGTCAGGGTTCTCCTGTTCACCGCACTTCTGAATTGTGCGGCTTTCCAACATCGACAACAACCTGAGGAGCTCTGTAATCTGCCCCTTCCAACTCTGGGCTGCATTGCTGCACCCCTCTGCTGCTGTCGGTTTATGAGGTCCGAGCGCACGATAGTCCAGATTTGCCGCTCTGTTAGTCCCAGCTTCCCCAGAGGTTGCACTGGAATGGATTTCTTGCAAGGCTCTTCGCAGGACTTCACCCAGGCTGCGGCTCCACGCACCGTCCGACGTGTGGTCTCCTCCATCGTTCAAAATCTTCCGAAGCTCAGAGAGAATTCCGGATGGAGGCAGTTCTGTGCCATCACCGCGACGGTCCACATCTTCCTGGACGACCTGCGGAGGGAGAGTAAGTTAGACAACAATCGATGTCCTTGTGCAACAACTTCGTTGCACAGGAATGTGACAGTTATCGCACAAAGCCATGAATAAAACTACAAAGCAAAAAAAATATTTGTAGGGGTGCTAGTTGTTGCCATATTTTCTTTATACGAACACACACTGCCACATTGCACGAGCCAATGTTTTTATCTGGATAGTGTCAATCGGTGTTTAATGATTTACAGCTATTAACCTACTGGGCATTTGTGAAACTAACTGGATATCTGTGAAAGAGCTTCAAAACTCATCGGATTTCTCCAGGATAAATAGATTCTGATAGCTCGTGTAATGTGGCAGTGGCTGTGGGAGTGTATAGGGGTTTGTGTGGTGCGGTGATTAAATTTAAGCCTCGACTTGTGAAATGCACTTTATATATGCTTACATTTAACAGCCTAGTACTTTGACAGTGGCCATAAAGTGTGCAGTAAAAATTACAAGAGGCTCATTTTCGGGCTGTGCCTCAATGACCCATGGCAGAGCGTGCGACTCACACAAGGGCCAGAATTTGGGGAGTGGCAACAAATAAAAAACTTCCCACTGGAATCACAAAATAATATTAAGCATCGCCGTGGAAAATTTAAGTCACAAAATATGTAAAGCAGACAATAAATCTGTTTCACAATGTCTCTCCAGGTAAACGATACAAAATATATATTTATGACACAACCCACCAAGTTTCTGGGAGTGCATAATTTCAGCAACATTGATTCAGTACAAGCAAACTCTGGAATCGGCTCACTGGGTGGGAGGCTCTGCACGTTAAAAGCATGCTCAATGTCTGTGTATTTCAAAGGAGGTGAAATGTTGGTAGAGCAGCACACTAAATGTTGAGTTAAGCAGCTCAATTTAAGAAAAAATTACTTTTTTCTCATGTTCATGCAACAACTTACCTTTAAATGGTCGTTAGTCAAACTGGTAAACTCCTCAGATGAACACAAATGGCATGAAAATGAGAGGATGCACAGGGAATCCACAATGTATCGAGCTTGTGAAATGCGCGCTCATTGCATTCCGGGTGTAACACATAATCACGTGAATGGGTCGTTGCGCCTGATCGTGTTTCTCCGGTTGAAATTTGTTCTCAAAGAATGTTCTGATAACTCGTCAAACAGAAAACTACATGAGGAGTAATTGAAGTGGGGTTTTCTTTCCAGACTTTCTTCTTCCGGCTCAATTCAATAACTTGGTTTCTCATATTATTGAGCGATATGAATACAAAACAAACACTTTTTGGAGGGAAAACACGATGAAAAAATCGCATTCCAACAGAAAATTTGTTATCGAGAGACGTTTCCGAAGTTAGCCCTAATATATATTAGCATCTCCTTTATTCATGCCGAAGTTGCTCATAGTTCACTATAAAATCGACAATGCAGTTTCTGAAAACGTCTCTCAAGAATGAAGTTTCAGTTGAGATGCCATTTCTCTTAAAGTCATACATTGTTAATCCATATGAACACACACACTGTTAAGTGAACAAACAAACCGGTGAATGAACGAATACCTGGTCTTCTTGCCCTTCCTCTGGCACCACGCTCATATGCTGCACCAGCACCATGCCGGGATGCTTCTTTTGCTGCTTGCGGTGATGTTTCCTCTGCTGCTGCTGCTTCTGCCCCTTTTGCTGCACCTGCACTTGCACCTTCACCCTGCCGGCCTGCTCCTGTAGCTCAGCCTCCTGCTTCTTCAGCAGTGTCTTGCTCTTCTGCTCAGACTCCGAGTCTGTTTGTCCATGGTGCTGCTGCTGTTGCTGCTGAACACCATCCTCGCAAGCTTCCTGCTCTGCGGGTGGAGGCGCTGTCGTGGCCTTGTCATCAATGCCGTGGTGGGGAGGGCTGCCGGTGGCCCACCCTTTCAGCAGGCTCACCTGCACGCCGCTCGCCTGCTCCACCTGACGGGATGACACGCGCAACTTAACTTACGTTGCGCGCACAACGGCGGACCCGTTACACGGCTTGATGTGGATTCACCGATTTACACCTCGGAAATGTCTCAAGGCTGCGGCGTTTTGACAGGCTAGGACGTTTCAGAGTGGGGCACAATTCAAGTGTCATTTACACCACAGGCCCTGCAAGGTGGGTAGTTAATCAACAACCAGCCACACCTAAGAGACACAAACCTCTTGATTAAACAGTGCATGCAAATAAAATCCAAGACAGGCACACTGCATGCCATAGCAAATGAGAAAATGCATATCAAACCAAACACGGCATGCGACTTAAAAGTCAAGGACTTACCTTTTCAGATGAAACTCCCCAAGTGCAGTGGTAATAACAATGCAGCAAACACCGGTTAGTTAGAATGTCAGATCAGGAGGCAGATTCCTAACAAGTTGCATATTCTGATTGTAAATTGAATACATTAATATACTTGGCAACTATGTTACTTCAGGTGATCGATGTGGGTTATTACCCCAAGATGGTCAACTAGCTTATGGATAAGAGCACTGAACCGGCACTGCTGAGATTCTGGGTTTGAATTCAGATTTCAGGCACCAGGTTCTCAAATGAGGTACTTGTGAATGCACAACAAAAATCCATGATTAAATTAGTGTTTTCACTTCATTAGGTTAAATTATATCTCGAATAACAATAAAATATCAGCATTTCAACGTGATAAAATTGTATCTGTAGCAGGACATGAAACAACGTGCAGTGCCTCTTTATAGTGTGGATAAGAATAGGTCAAGTGAGGGGATCTCAGTGCTAGTTCTGTGACATTTCCTTCCACAGGCCAAGGAGGAACGGCAGCGTGAATGTTTTGAATGGACACCTTGGTCCATGGCGTGATGCCAAGAACACAATTGGTATCGAATAGGTTAAATCCCTTCATAAACTAGATGCCCACACTGGTGATAATGTTCTGCCGAATTTCAGAATATCTTGCCAAAAATTGTGATGAGTAAACAACATTATAACACAAAGCCCTGTGCTTGAAGTTCCTATGGGAGATTTATAGTAGAGTTATATATGAAATCTTACATGTAAACAAGTAATGCAGTTAATCATAATTACACTTTGTCATATTTCTTTATATATTATTTTAATTACAGCAATGTCTTAAAAATATTGCAGTTAATGCAATATTCTGCTTTTAGCTTAAATTTTTTTCAAGCATAAATCTTTTTTTTTTAAACCTAACAGTGTTCCATTGGAGAACTCTTAATTAAAAGGACCGCTTTTGCTTTGCGTTTTTTGTTTCAATTTTTCCAGATTCAGTCCCAGCCTCCGACACCAGGTCCTTACCGCGAAGGGTGGCGACGGGAGGGATATTTGAGCCGTGAGTCGGTGCCGACCGCTTCCACCGCTCCCTCGAGATCCACGACACCGGTACAACCACGTGTGCACGTCAATGCCGGAATCGCCAGCGCATGGCACCGACGGTCCCGTCGGCAGAGGAATAGTAACCATCATCTCTGAGAATCCTTCCGCAAACTCCTCTGGACGCCAGTGGCCAAAATCACGAGCTAATGAATCTCCGTCAGGCTCGGAGTGGGACGGGTGAGTGAGGACGAGAGGTCGGTCTAAGGACTCCATGTCAGGTGATCGTAAAGGGTCGACGGTCGATTCAGACTCGGAATCACATCCGGGCACCACATTGTACTTGGAAATGACCACAGGTTGATCAACCGGAGTAGCGTGATTCAACAAGACATCAAAACCAGATGGATTATCCTCCTGTTGCTGCTGGGACGGACCATCAACAGAATTAAAAAGTGCTTGAATGTCCCGCACAGAAGGCCCATTGGGAGAGGTGCACACGTCGGCAAACAGGCGAGAACTTGAGATGGCTGGGAATGAAGAAGACCCTTCATGTGGATATTGCTCACAATATCCTCTCAATTGTGAACTGCCAACCAGTAGAATTGTGTTATCTCCAGCAGTAAAACCAGCCGTTTCCAAGGGATTTTCACTCTCATTTGGGGTGCGAGACTCCACGGTGACAGTCAGTGAGGTTGGAAACTGCATAGTCAGTTTTGTCTCTTGACTGTAGAGGTTTGAGAGGCCATGGGCCATTTCAGCTGGACTCGGATCCACAGATTTTAAATCAAATCTGCACTCATCTTTTCCCTTCTGCAGTTTGTGTAGCAAGCAAGGCTTCTGTTGCAGAAGGCAGATATGATAACGCTTTATTTAAACGTAGGAAGTATGGCTTATATTGTAAATATCTAAGGAGTGTACAAAATTACATGCACATTCACCAGAATGAATCTAAACCCCAACATTACCAGTTAATATGTAAACTAAATTTATATACGGCATCTCTTCTAGTCCATGTAAACCATGAATGAACGCACCATGCATATTAATATGAAGATGATTTCAAATGCATCATCACAGCTCAGGGTGATTAATAGGAGTTGAACAACAAGTTTGTGTGTATGGCGTTTTGGACAAATTATTTACACGATCTTAAAACCACGTACAGAATTTATACCAACTTACCCTCCCACTTTTGCACGCACCTGAACAACTCACTCACCCCATGTGCATTTGTAGATAAGCTAAACAAATACAGGAGTGAAAACCTCAGCCATGTGCATTTACTGATAAGCAATAACTGATTGTCAAAAACTACAAGAGTGAAACCAGCGATGAAATGAAATTCTACCCTGACAAACTGCACTGAACACAAGTGGGATCACAGATGTGTGTTTCGTGCTTAGTACACTTTATCCTAGCCTCAGCCATATCAGAGGAGAACAGGAGGAAACATTATAATACTGTTACTGAACTATACATTTTGACAAAAAAAGTCATTTCTCTTTCAGACTCTGTCACCATGGCTACCCTGGAACTCGTCAATTGGGGCTGCCCCAACCGAACCCGGAACTCACTTGGGCATGACCCCCTAGCCCCCCCACCCCAGGGCTGCTCGAGGACTTATTGATGATGGGGTTTTTTTTCCCACGTGTAGACAACTTGGAACTCATTGGCAAAAAGGGCCCTGGACCCCCAACTCTTGAGACTCAATGGTGGATGGGTCCTGGCCCCCTGATATTCCTGCGAGACTCAATGGTGGATGGGCCCTGGCCCTCCGATATTCCTGTGAGACTCAATGGTGGATGGGCCCTAGCCAGCCTCGGCTATCTCTGGGGCTCGTAGGTGCTGCCCTGGCTGCGCCGGCTGTCCAGCTGTCTCTGGGGCTCGTTTGTGCTACACCCTGGTTACTTTATTCCACGCTATGCCACACTGTTCCACGCTGTTGCTATCTTTCTTCTGTCTCCAATGTTTCGATGAAGTGACCGTCCTGCCGAGCTTGCAACCCAGATGTAATTTTTATCCATTCTTATAGTGCGTCTCAGTATACAATTGCATTTTTATGCTTTATAAACTTAAATTGTACAAAATATATTACTAATAGGTGACATGGCTAAAACATCGAACACAGTAGCATTTGTTTAAAACACTTGAATCTCTGATGTTTAAGAGGCCTGACCCAGAAATGCTAAAACGAGTCCATAGTAAACCAGCTTAAACGAATGAGATTGGGAAAACCAGCAGCTAAACAGGGTTGAGCCTAAATAGTGTTTGGATGGGTGACCACAATTAATTATATAGGCTAGTGGTGTGCACTACCCCTTTGTTGCACTATACTTATATGCTCCCATGCATATTTTCTCCGTCTTAACCAACCAGCATTGGCCAGTGTGAAGCATTATCAAATAACCCCCACAACCTTCACGGAGTGCAGAAGCCCTCATCCAACAGTGGATTGACATTGACTTGCCATATTTTTTTTTATACTTTCACATTAAAACGTAATTGTATGCAATTACTCATGAAAATTAGTAAACTGGGATTACAACAAAGTGCTCATAAGAAATACTACACACACACACATACACAGAGCTGTTGGCGCAGCCTGGAAACCGGTGATGTTTTTGCTGAACGATAAGACCGTGATGAAACGCGTTGTCACCCGAACCGCGGCAGGTGCATCCCCTACAGTCCAGGGGTCGGCAACCTATGGCTCGCGAGCCAGATGTGGCTCTTTTGATGACTGCATCTGGCTCGCAAATAAATCTTAGCCGACATTTCTTAACAGGATAAGTCTTATAAGTCTTATCAGCCCAGAACTACACGGGAGGATCTTGTCAATGATCTCAAGGCAGCTGGGACCATAGTCACCAAGAAAACAATTGGTAACACACTATGCCGTGAAGGACTGAAATCCTGCAGCACCCGCAAGGTCCCCCTGCTCAAGAAAGCACATATACATGCCCGTCTGAAGTTTGCCAATGAACATCTGAATGATTCAGAGGACAACTGGGTGAAAGTGTTGTGGTCAGATGAGACCAAAATGGAGCTCTTTGGCATCAACTCAACGCGCCGTGTTTGGAGGAGGAGGAATGCTGCCTATGACCCCAAGAACACCATCTCCACTGTCAAACATGGAGGTGGAAATATTATGCTTTGGGGGTGTTTTTCTGCTAAGGGGACAGGACAACTTCACTGCTTCAAAGGGACGATGGACGGGGCCATGTACCGTCAAATCTTGGGTGAAAACCTCCTTCCCTCAGCCAGGGCATTGAAAATGGGTCGTGGATGGGTATTCCAGCATGACAATGACCCAAAACACACGGCCAAGGCAATAAAGGAGTGGCTCAAGAAGAAGCACATTAAGGTCCTGGAGTGGTCTAGCCAGTCTCCATACCTTAATCCCATAGAAAATCTGTGGAGGGAGCTGAAGGTTCGAGTTGCCAAACGTAAGCCTCGAAACCTTAATGACTTGGAGAAGATCTGCAAAGAGGAGTGGGACAAAATCCCTCCTGAGATGTGTGCAAACCTGGTGGCCAACTACAAGAAACGTCTGACCTCTGTGATTGCCAACAAGGGTTTTGCCACCAAGTACTAAGTCATGTTTTGCAGAGGGGTCAAATACTTATTTCCCTCATTAAAATGCAAATCAATTTACAACATTTTTGACATGCGTTTTTCTGGATTTTTTTGTTGTTATTCTGTCTCTCACTGGTTCAAATAAACCTACCATTAAAATTATAGACTGATCATTTCTTTGTCAGTGGGCAAATGTACAAAATCAGCAGGGGATCAAATACTTTTTTTCCCCTCACTGTAGATTCCTTTGTCAACCCACTGATGGATGAGGGCCTCCCCTCCGCCTTTGGCCATACTCATCACGCTGGCGAGTGTGGAATGAGTGAAATTGGGGAGCATAGAAGTACAGTCCAAAAATAAATGTTTTGCTGCACTGCCCTCTGCTACCCACCAAGTAGCACCGCAGCAGATGACGACAACCTGTAGTGCACAGGGATCGCTCATATCCAGCACCAAAACTCGTCCAATGCTCCGGTGGTAAATGCATAGATCTCAGGAGATCCAAGCCATGAAGTGAAATGTAATGTAAGCAATTCTCACCTGTGGCACGTGAGACAGAGCAGCTTGTGGCGAGGGTCCAGTGGCCCCGGCCAGGCCCAGCTCCTCCACGGCTCTCGTCTGGACGTCCCCCTGAGATCCAACGTTCAGCTGCGCCACCCCTCCACGCCCCTTACGCACCACTTCCTCCTTCTTATTCTTCTTCTCCTCCACCACCTCGTCGTCGTCGCCCACCGCCTGAGCTTTAAGAGACACCATCTCTTCCTGCTGAAGGTCACACGTCTTACGCAGGTCGCCCACCCTCTCTTCCAAAGCCGCTTTTTCTTGCAGCAACGCGTTGAATTCGTCCACAGTAGGAATAGCTGTGCTTATGGTTGTTGCACTTTGACCTTGCGTGTGATCACCTCCGCCACTCGATTTTGCACCCGCAGCGCCTGCTCCATCCACCACGCTGTGAGGTGAAGCATCCGGAGCTGGCTCCGATTCGCATTGGTACTGTGCGTCCTGCTGCAAAAGCCTGCATTGTGCAACAAGGGTAGCCGCCTGCACTCGCCCTTTCATAGCAATGCACTGCCGGCTCAAAGCAGAGAGCAGCTGCTTCAGTTGCCGACCCTGCTTTTGGGAGGCCGGGTCATCGTCGGGTTTAGGGGGCGACTCTTGCGGGTTTGCGACAGCCTTGCCACTTGAGTTTGACGGGACAGGTGTGGGTCCAGGGGCTTCCACATTGTCACATGTGCTGCCATATATTTCCAGTGTTTCTTGGAAGGTTGCGCAGTCCTCCAGTTCACGAAGAATTCCACTGATGCCCTCTTCAGTCTCAAGTTGCTCCAGTTCAAAGGATTTATTTTCTTGAATCAGTTTTTCCACTTTTTCTCTAAAGTCTTCTTTGAGCGCTGCCAACTCCTCCGCATGCTTGCTCTCCAACTCTGCCTTGGATTCCCCATTCGTTACCTTACTTTGATTATCTGCACCTTTCAACGCCAACTCCAAGCTTAACCTGTGCTTCTCCTCCAGCTGCTTGACTAGATCATCTAAGTCCTTCTGCTTCTCCTGCGAGTCCTTCAGAGCGAGCCCATGGCTCTTCTCCAGCTCGGCCAGCAGCTGATCGGTGTTTAGTTTGTTCTCCTGAGCGAGCGACTCCTTCAGCTGCTCCAGCTCTCTCGCGTGCTGCTCCTGGAGCTCAACCGTTGCATGCAGCTCTTCCTCTCGACGCAGAGAAAGCTCTGCGCCGAGTTTCTCAATGTCAGCCGTCAACTTGTCCACCTTCACTGCGTGCTCCTGGCCTGTGGTCTCCTTCAGAATCTCCAGCTCTTTGATGTGCTGCTCACAAATGCTCTGCACTTCCTCCATGTGTCGAATTTGCTGCTGCTGAAGCTGCTCTTGCGCCCCCCGCGTCCCCTGCCGACTCAGCGACAACTCCGCGTTCAGTGTCTCCGTGTCGGTGAGCAGCTTGTCCACGGCCCCCTTGTGCTCCACACGCAAGGCTTCCTTCAGTCCCTCCACCTCTTCACGGTGATGCTGAAGTAGCTGCTCCAGTCTGCACGCATCGTCCTGCACCCCCATGCGCTGCTCTTTGAGCTGCTCTTGAAGGACCTCCACCTGCCTGCTGTAGTCCTGCTGCATCTGTTTGTATCTGCTGTCCGCTTCCTGTCGACTCTGAGACCGTTCATTGTTGAGCTTCTCCACCTCTGCCTGCAATTTGTCCATGGTGACCCGATTTTCCTGCCTTAGAGTTTCTTTGAGACCTTCCATCTCAATGCTGTGCTGCTGCTTCATCTTCTCGAGCGAGCACTGTGCCTCTTCTTTATTGTTCAGCAGCTCCTCTTTGAGCCTCTCCAGGTCCCCCAACAGTTTGTCTATATTTCCCTTGTGCTCTTGATCTAGGGTGACTTTCTGAGCCTCTTTGTCAATGAGGTGCTGCTGCTGCTGTTTTTCTAGAGCACTCTGTGCCTCCTGCTCATGCTGAGATAACATCAGGGTGAGATTCTGAATGTCCGCAAGCAACTTGTCCAAGCCTCCTTTGTGTTGCTGCCCTAGAGTTTCTTTCAAGCTCTCCACCTCAGCATAGTGCTGCTGCCGTTGTTTCTCAAGAGCGCTTTGTGCTGCCCGTGTATTGTGCACCAAGTCTCCTCTAAGCTTTGCTAGCTCTGCCTCAAGCTTCTCTAGGTTTCCTTTCTCCTCCTGGACGTCAGCATCTTTTTCATTCTCTACTTCTCTGTTGCACTTGTCCTGAATGCCCAGAGGGTCATTCTCGTCTGTGGGCACATTGCCCAGTTCGCTCTTCACCACCTCTTTACCGAGGGACAGCTCCGCGGTCAGCCTCTCGTTGTCCGCAAGAAGCTTGTTGACATTTTCTTTGTGTTCCTGCCTCAGCGACTCTTTGAAACCCTCCATCTCTTCAATATACTGCCGCTCTAAAGTTTCCTTCGTGCTTCGCAACTCCTCCGCACTCAGCGACAAGGCCACGCTGAGGTTCTCAATGTCGGCCGTCAGTTTGTCAATGCTCCCTTTATACTCCAGTCCCAGAGCTAACCGCAAGCCTTCCATGTCCTTATCCTGCTGCTCACGGATTTGCTCGAGTGCCCTCTGAGCTTCCTCCCGGCCAAAAGACAGCTCTGCGTTCAGCTTCTCCAGTTCAGCCACGCGACCCCGAGCCTCTGTCCGCTCGTTCTCCAATGTCTCAAGTTTGACGCGAAAGTTCTCCAGCTCCCGCCCATACCTGGCATCCATCTCTGTGCTCTCGCTCAACACTGACGACAGCTGCTCCTGCACACTTGCGAGCTCCGCTTGCGAATCTCTCAACGATGTGCTGAGTTGGCCGTTGGATTCCTCCAGCAGCAGTAAACTCTCGTGCGATCTCCTGTTGCTCTCTGTGAGGTCTTCGATGACTGCCTGGAGCCTCTCGACCTCTCGCTGCATTTCCGAACGAAGGGCGGCGACCTGTCGATCGCGCTCTTCACCGAGCGCCGTCCTAAGTTCTCCCTCTCTTCTTTCCCAGTTTGATGCTGCCCCTTCTGTGAGGTTCCCATCGAGGTGTCCTTGCTTCTTGGCCAAATTATCAAGATCGTTGAGAAGCTTGACGTTCTCTCTGGAAAGCTGCTGCTCTTTCTCTGCGGAAGCAGACAGTCGCATCCTTAGATCCTCCAAGGCCAAGTTCTTGGATGAAACTTCTCGTTGCAACTCGGTCACGGTGCGTTCCGCTTCTCCTACCTTCTCTGTCAGCTCGCAAAGAGCAGCTCTTTCTGTCCCAGTGGGACTGGTGGAAGTGCTCATAGGGGCCTTGTCCTTGCTGGGTAAAGTCTGCTGAAGCGTCAGGATGATGGCCTCCTTTTGAGAGATAGTGGCCTCAAGCTGGCTGGCGATAGTTTTGGATTCTTGTAATTCCTGTGCAAACGAAGAATGTGAAACATTAATCATCTCATACAAATTTATTTTTTAATAGTATCGGTTTCCTGCAAGAAAACATTTATAATTCAATCGCCACATTTCAACGAAGGCGTTAATATACATTACTCAATAATGTTAACGTTGAAATGTATATTGTACGAATATTTGTATGTGTTTCATAGTTTATCAAACGCCATAAAAGTTTGCATTCCAAGTTCACAAACACGGCATAATAAAACTTGTACAAATAAATACTGGATACAGCTTTGTCAATTTACTGCAAAATGAAAGGATATAGCATGGGCCCTGTGGGTTGTTTGACTATACTTCACCACACTGGGCAATGCAGTTTGATTAACATTATTTTTACTTTTGTTAAACAGTGTTTATTTTACCAGGATAAGGCCAGCAGAAAAATCCACCAGACCACGGGGACAACATGCAAACTCCAAATATAGAAGGCGTCAGGGTCGGGATCAAACCCACGACCTCCTTCAAAGCAGGCGAGGTAGTTAGCATATCACCACTGCGGCACTCTATGAAGGGGGTGGGGTGGGGGGTGTGGAAGAGGCTTCAGAAGTTACCTCGCCACTGATGTTATAGCCATAGCTAGGGATCAAACGCACAGCACTGGGTTTACAGCGCAGTGCGCGCACATTAACCAACGTTCGGCCGCCCCAACCCGGACAAAGATAATTCACGTTACGTTTCTTCACATCTCGTCCCCAAAGGCACAGGTCAATATAACCCGACGGTATTAATCCAGTAGGCTGCATTAAGCAGTTGGTGGCCCATATGCAGAAGCAAAACTACAGCCGCAGACTATAATTTTTATTAAATGTGACGTGCAAATATCTTATGCCAGATAAAAAAAAATACCCCCTGCAAGGAGTGAATGCAGCATAACAGTGTGCATGCTCACGGAATTAATTATACTTTGCAGACGTCAGATTAGATAATAACAAAAATATGTATAATAAGAGCCATTGGCCAATATGTTATCCTAATATTCGTTGTTAATGGACAGTGCTCATGACACACAAGTCTTTACGCTTATCTGTGATGGATTTTATTACATAGTAAAATAATAATAAAGATGAAAAACAATGCTCTTTGCTCAGGAAAGCTCCATTGAGTCTTATGACTGTTTTTTCAACAGGATCCTGCATTGGCCAATTCCATCAATAAGTGTTTGGTATATGGGAGAATAATAGACTACACAGAGAAAACCCAGACATACAAGGGGGTAAACAATGAACGATCCACACATATGTAGGAATACATTGTTGTAATGCCATCTACTGGCCACCTCGTAGCAATGATATATTACTTTACAATGCATATTTTAAAAAAAAACATTTGGCTGTTATAGGGTTAAAATCAATGTCATTATTAGTGCACATGGGCCTATTTATTTAGACTGACACTTTTGCAAAGAGCTATAATGCATGACAATGGGTCTAGTAGTTTAAGAGGAGTGTTACTCAAGTTTCAGACATATCAATCCATTATTATAAGCGCACAACTTTATCTGTGATGAACGCTGCACTTTCTGTCGTTTTCATGCAGGAGGCGCTGCATGAACGAAGGAGGCGCAGGGACAGACGTTCGATTACGTTGGAATCGATTTGTATACGGCGGTCATCTCGCACGGCAAGCTCTATGTCGCCTTATCTCGATCCCACAATCCCAAACAGGTGAAAATCCGCATTGAACCGAACCCCCAGCAAGGCCATCTACTTAACGACGAGAGAAAATTCACACGAAATGTCCTTTTCAATGAAGTCTTCCAGATGTAAAATGATATAAGTTTTAAATGAAGAAATAAAATTGTCTAATTCAAAACATACAATTCAAATATGTTTCATTTTAAAACTTCAAAACGGAGCATCGGGTGCTTGCGTGAATGCGGCGTTCGTTCGAAAAAAAAATTCGTGACTTTCCTGGCCGAAGACCGTCAATGGTTGTGAGGGGGCACCTGCGGCAACCCCCGAACAGCCCCCAGTCCATTATCATTACGATTAAGTGAGAGAGGACAAAGGCTTCAGGGAGGCCTTCATCCAGCAGTAGATTAATAATGGCCGATGATGATTATGATGCTGATAGTCACCTTCTGAAGGATGGGAATGTACACCTCGTGATCTGCGGCCCCCTCTTGGGCCAGCCCATCCGGCCGGGTTCCCAGACTTCCTTCGGCTCCCGGCTGCCGAGTTGCATGCGCCAGCTCGAGCCGAGAGCGCAGGCGATGCAGTTCGGAAGTCTTCTCGCACAGCAGGTTCTGGCACGTGGACAACTGCTGCTGTGCCTGCGCCAGTTCCTGGGTCTGGCTCCACTGCCGCGTGCTCCGCAGCATCTCACTGGCCTGTGCAAAGGGAGATGGGAGGACGCACACATGCGGAAACGAGGGTTCCCCTCATTAGCGCCGCGTTGGGCCGAGTTGTATTCGAGATGGTTGGGTGGCTCAGAAGGTACAGCAATGAGCCAACACTACTGAGATGTCGGGGGGTAAAATATAGGTAGCCAACCGTGATTAAATAAGGCTTTTGAGTGTTTAGGAGATTCCTAATAAGGACAGATGCATATGATAGTAAACTGTAACGTTACTGGAAAGATGTTACTCTGGAGAATAAACGTTACCTATTTTCTGAGCTGGCCGAGTGGCTTAGGGGTCAGAGCACTGAACCAAGACCGCTGGGACGGGGACAGAGTGAAAGAGCCTGGAGCGGAGGAAAGCGAGAGAGCAAAACGGAAAGAGAGCGAGGGAAAGCGACGAGCAGTGGGACGGAGGATTAGGGAGAGTGAGAAAAATTGAGACAGGAAAGGGAGAGGTGGGAATAAGGAGAGTGAGGGTGAGAGGTGAGAGAAACAGGGAGCGAGATTGGGGGGAGGGAAGTGGGTGAGATACAGGTGGAGGGAGGAGAGTAATAGAGAGGGAGATGTATAATATGAAACACGGGAATAGAGAAAAAAAAACAAAGTGAGAAATCGAAGCAAAATGGGATATGCAGTACTGAGAAGGAAAAAGGTGGAGAGAGACAGGGCTCGATATAAGATACAACGTTTATCTGGCTGGCTAGCTAGCTGGGAGGGATGGATGTCCAAAAGACGCGCGGGTTGATAATTATATCTTCAAAAAACCACCTCGTGTTCACAACATCTGACCAATGGTGACAGCTGCACACTTTAGTTCCCACCTGCTGCAGCTGCTGCTGAAGACTCTGAATGTGGGTAGTAAGGTGCTGCGTCTCCTGCTGCACCCCATCCCGGCTGCTGAGCGCCTGCTGCAGGTTGGCACTTAGCTGCGTGATGATCTCATCCCTCTGCTGGATTGCGGCTTCAAACTGTGCACATGAAGACAAGATCCCCCCATATATCCTTAGCAGACTCTTTGGGAAAGTGCTATTAGCGAGCACCTATGAAGGCCAGCACGGCACACAAGGTGGTGGGTGGCCAGCACCACGCCAGACTGTCTTCGTCTCCCTAGAGGTGATGTTTACACACTGCATCAGGTAATCATTTGAGGCTACGTCGATCTCGGAGAGGCTTAAGGAGGGTTCATATAATGGTCACTGGCATTGGCCTCAAGTGGGAATCAAACTCGGGTCGGCCGAGTTCAAAGTGCAAAGCGCTAATCACTAAAATACCACTCCCCACAAACTGTGCACACACACACACACGAGCATGCCACATTAATTAATATCTTCATCATTTTTACTTATTACTCAATTGGGATTACACACAGCAATCGCTACATTGCCCTCTGCTGTCCACTATTGAATGCTGTAGCCTATAACAACCTGTTATGCCAGACTATCCCAAACCCTAATCCAAGCACTACCCAGGATCAGCACACTATACGAGCATAACATCCAGGAAGCATCAATGCATGGATAATAAAATACCCGAGGTTAAATTTGAGAAAGCGATATTAAACAATAAAAGGAATTTATATATGGCGAGCCATTTATGCTTTATAGCATACAGTTCCACTTGCAGGAATTACGTAAGTGTCAGGAGTAGAGCGAGGCAGATTATCCGATAATTAAATTGATTGATTAATAATTGTAATGGGCTATATCATGCGATGTATTACTCAGGCTCCTTTAAAAATTATGCCGCAAGACGTGAAACCCCCTGCAAGTCACGCCCAGGCGTGGTGTGGCTCATGATGCCGATAATTTCACCAAGCGCCGCCCATCTCCTCCCGTCTAACGGCACATGTGGAAAGAGGTGAGACTTTCCCCCCACCCCCCAACCAATTTTGTGTTATCTAAATTAGCTCGGCAAGTGAACCAATAACCAGTCGATAACTTAAATAATCGGATATCCCAGCTGATTTGTACAATGCGATGTAGTGCTGGTGGCCTGGCCTGGGGGATATGTACAATGCGATGTAGTGCTGGTGCCTACCTGGGTGATTTCAAGGGCCATCAGCCCATCTGTGTCCCTGTCCGTGGGCGGAGATGGGACCTCCGAGGACCTGTCCTCCGTGGTCTCAGGCTCAACAGAGCCCAGGCCTCCAGGAGCATCTTCCTCAGAGGGGATTTGTTCACCCAGGCCAGCCTCCACTATCGTCTCTACACCCAACTCCATGCCGCCCTCCATCTCGTCTGCACAGCAATACAGCCAAATATAGCTGCCCAGTTAATTACAATCTCAATGAAGAGTGTCTAAACATCTTAATGGTCATATTCTTGGTTCTTTCAGTAAAGTCACGTAGAAGGGAAACAATAAAATAAAAATATAAAACACTAAAAATCTCACGACGTTTCGACTGCAACACAAGCAATCATCATCAGGTGTGAAAACCACAAGAACATTTTCTTGATGATTGCTTGTGTTGTAGTCGAAACGTCGTGATAATTTTATTGTTTTCTATTTTTATTATTTTATTGTTTCCCTTCTACGTGACTTTACCGAAAGAACCAAGAATATGAATCCCTGCAGTCACGAAAGCTTTAAATAAAAAATCTTAATGGTCTTTTGTCAATCCATTGCTGGTTGAAGGGCTCTCCACTCCGTGTTAGTCATGGAAATTGTTTGACCATACTTCACCGCGCTGGTCGCCACCGATGTTAGCTGTGGCTGGCATCAGGCACCAGGCCACCTGAGCCACCCTTTCACCAATACGCATAGACCAGCAAGGTGAAGTATAGCCAAACAAACCCCGATGACCAACAAAGTTTTGGGGAGGTCTTCACCCAGCAGTGGATTTACAAAGGTAATCAAATTATTATTTGAATTACACGTCGATATTATAGTATATATATTTTTTTTATCCAACCATTTAATAGGCAATACTCCAATAATCATGGGTTTTTACAATCTAAATCATGCATTACCATTTATCAATTAGATATAATGGGGAAAAAAAATTTAAGCTATTGTTCAATCAAATGCTATGTTGAAATGCTTGGTTGTACATTTTGTGATGAAATACTAAACGAGATAAACAATAATCACCGAATCGTGCAAATATTGTGGTACAGTGCTCAAAGTTGGTAAACATTAGCCTTGGGCTGTTATTCTTTATGTACATTGTCACAAGGTGCACACAATACCAATTACATTAGAGCTGATGTCCCATGTTCACAACACAGGTTTGTCTATTCAGGTTTATCACAAACATGAACAACCAAAATATCTACTCAAAGAATTCCAAACAAGACTGGCAAAAAGGTATTCTTAATTCCAAGGGGTATTTAAACCTCTTTTAAGCAGACCAGACATGTTGGCAGAGAATTTGGTGGCTACGCTTAACCCGACCAGAAAGATTAAAGTTAGGCAACTTTTACCACTGCGAAGATACAGGCCAAAATAGTACGTGAATCAACCTGCCATGTACTTTAACTGTTAGAACGTTCAAATGCGACTGAGCAAATCTTGACTCTCATTGTGAAAGCCTCCACACCTCGGTGGCTTCGTCTTTAAAGCAACACTGGCAGCTAGATGCACATTCCGAGGACGGCTATGATGTATGTATGAGCAGCTTGAGTGGTGGACCCTACATTTTAGGCTTTGCAGACGCCTCTTGTGAAATGCTTCGGCAGGGCAAAAGGTAAACGTCACAAATGAAAAGGTGTGGTGCATTGTTGATGACGAGCCAGTGGAGCAATGTCATCAGTACACAAACAATGCGATCCTATCGCGCGGTGCCAGTGTAGCGCGGATGCGCGATGTGCAGCACAGCGCCAGTGTGCCAACTAGAGGAGCATGTCTGCAGCGACGCACGAGTGGTAAACTGCAGAGGAATACAGTCTGTAGCGATACCAACGTGGAGACTAGAGACACACGACCTAAAAGTGATACCGTTGCATGGACTAAAGCTAAGCAACCCACAAGGGCATGTCCAAAGTTTCACCTCTGTAGACACGCAGTCTGCAGTTATTCCTATTTGTAAATTACAGAGACAGCAGAAGTGGTCTGCAGTGATACCGGCACAAAGACTAAACATACACACAGTCTGGAGCAATACTAGAGAATAGACTGGTGACATGCTGTTTGCATTGTATATAGTGGCTTGTTCTACAACAGTGATTCCACCTCCTGCACTCCCACGTGTCAGCTGCCCCCCCCCCACTCTCCTAAAACGAAAGAGTTTCGCCAGCTCAGGCGAGCGGGATGTACCAGCGGTCAGTGCGTGCTCTTCCGTCGCCAGGCCATGTTGATGGAGAGGCGTCTTCTTCCCCTTCTTCTTCTCTTTCTCGGGATGCGCGACGTCACCTTTTGCTTTTCGCTGTCGGAACTCAGCAAGCTGCACACGAATGCGAACGAGATGTAAAGCGACAGGTAGGCGAGGAACAGATAGCACGACCACAGTAGCAGCATGCCGCTTCGGCCAGCGAGGGTGAAACCCTCCTCAGCCCATGCCGACGAGTCCAATCATTGTGCGCTTCCAATCAAACATCTCCGTGTATTACTAACTACGCGAATAACAACAAAAAATTGCGGGCTACATTCACACAATGGTTACATTGTGGCCTGTGGAAGTTTAACACTGAAATTTTGCACAGGAAACTGTCAAATGGACACACCTAACCCAGCAGTAAATTAACCCAATGACCTAAAGCCGGAGACTCACGGTACATTATTAATGGCGAGACGGCAAGCGAGACGCTATTGAGGGCGCACTCTGAGAATCAACGCGACCACCGTGGGACACCTAGATCGTGCCTCGAATAGGGAACCTACAAAGCCCCGGCTCACATGGAGTTTCACCACTAACTGCTCCTTCCGAGCACCCTTCGCCCTAACCTCCCCGCCGTCGCTGTGCCCACATCTATGCTGTAGACTCATAAATGCGACATGCTTTAATGCAGATACACAATTGCAACTGCAAACCCGCCCCCGCTACGGGTAATCCAAAGAAAGCGGATTACAGGAATTACCAGACAGCCCGAAAGCGCTAATAGGATAAGATTGTGAATATGCATGGCAACCCATTGGCCTCGTTTCTACTGCATTGGTCAAAAATGTTGCGTAAAAACGTAGGTTCAGTGTTGCCAAATTACTACGTTGTGGGAACGATAGGACAGCGCAAACAAAATACATTATTTGCATTGTACTTCTATGCTCCCACATACATGTTCACCACCTTCAACGTGCACTAACCAGCATGAAGTACGGTCAAATAACCCAAGACATGCACAACATGGGGAGGTCCTCATCCAGCAATGTACTGACAGAGGGCTAGACATGTACACATTGAAAAGTTAAGATAGAGTTGATAAGTCATATATAAACATTAGAATGTGTAAAAATAAGTCCAATACCATAATACAACATTTCCACAGCCATACACAGAGGCTGCATTGAGTGCAGATGGTTGCATTTCTGTAAAAGTCACAATTAGATTCTAACCCTGTGAGTATCCCAGGCAGACTCATCATGTTCCATGTTTTGTTACCAATTGAAAGTAATTTATGCCTGGATTGTGGGTTTTAAATGTCAGTGTTGGTTTGGAATAGCTGGGGTGCAGCAGTGGCACAGTGGTTTTACCGCACTGTGCTTTATAAACTATAAATTAAACTCTTTTTTTTATTTTACTAGGTAAGGCCCACTGAGCGATACAGCTCTTTTTCAGAAGCAACCTGACCACAAATGATAGCTCAACGAAGTGGCTTATCAATTGGAAATTTATAGCAGCCAAATACCATAAACGCACGCCGATTCTAAATGTGGAGGGAAAACCCTGAGGACCCAGAGAAAAATCCACGCGACCACGGGGAGAACGAGTAAACTCCAAATATACAGGCATCAGGGTCGGAATAGAACCCACCACCTCCTGTATATCAGGCGAGGTAGTTAATATTTCACGACCATGGCGCCCATATTCTTTATCCACACTCGAGGCACACATTTTATGCCCCACAAAAAGTATTTGTCGCACGTCAAGCAAACCCAATAATCAAGTCTCTAAAAAGATATTCAACCAAATTAAGCAAAAACCCACATTTAACATTATGGTTTATTTTTGCATGTATCAGTGACCAGGCTAATCCAATAAACTTGCTGTACTGTACTTGATAAACCTGTTGAATCACGAATGTCTGCCGAGGCCGGATTTAAACCCAGGGTCACAGACAGCAGAGCTACCCAGCCACCTCCTAAATACTATAACATTGACATAATTCATTAGCAACTTATACATAATTACAATACTGACAACTCCATTAGTGTGTTTGAAACAAACGAATGTTACTAATATCCTGCGGACACATGTGGGGAGGCCTTCTTCATCCAGCAGTGGATAGACAATGGCTGATGATCATAAACTCCCAAGACGCGTCCTCCTCTCTCATCTGTGAGCGTCCAATTGGGTCTCACAGATTACTTGTAATCCCAAAATTCCATCAGCTTGTGCGGAGGATGTTACTGTGTTGACAAACTGCACAAAGGCAGGCCCTCCATCTGAATAACAACCTCCAAATTGTTTTGTCAATTTGGTTAGAATCATATTTATTTACACTGGAGGAATCTGATGAGCTATAAAGCTCTTTTTCACAGATGTCCAGTAGGGGCGAGTAAGAACGTTACAACAACAAACAATAAAAAAAGATGATCGTAGTACAAAGTACAAGATTTATAAACAAATGAGCCAAACAAATACAAATTTCACTAAACCATCCCCATCCTACCAGGCAAAGTCCACTGAGGTATTAACTTATTTTTCATAAGTGACCTGGCCCCAAATGATAGCTCAACAAAGTGGCCCATCATTAGGACATATGCAGGTTAAAGAGATAATTCAAACTGTTAAGAAAAGTCAGTGGGCTTGGGAAGAACACATTGCGCAAGGTGATTATAGGCAAATGTTCAAAAGTAATCGGTGGCAGCAAAGAAATGAAACCCAGGACACTGAGCAATGAAATCAAGTCGTGTGTACGTGCTTGGTGGATTGTTACATCGCTGGCTTGTCAAAGATGCCGAAGGCTTTGGGGGGTCTTCATCCAGAAGTGAAATGATCATGGCTGATAATGATGGCATTATAGGCACAATGAAAGCCTTTCTTCGCCTTATTTCACATTAATAAAGCTTGCAATAAACAATCAAGCACAACTTGGGAGTAATTTAAAAGTGGTTTTCCCCTGGCTTACCATCGCATCAGCAAAGGAAAACTTTTAATGTTGCTTTGCCATTAAAAACGCGTTTTTAAAACCTTTACCAATCTACCCCACCTACAGTGAAAGTCAGCTCTGCTAAGACGATACACGTTGCCACTCCATTCATATCGTGTTACAAGACAGACCTGTGATGGGTGACGTGGCCAGCTCAACCAGTTCCGTACACGTTAACAAGACACTACCACCCCCAGCCAGTCTCTGTTGCTCGGATGGTATGTTGCTTTATCCTGGACCAAAATTATTAAACAAATTAACACTTTTGGACAGCTGAATTTTATAATGAAAAGCAACAAACTAATGTAACTAAAGTTAAATGTGTTCTGTCAGCACATACTGTATATCCTGCTGCGATAGATGGTCGCAAATATGAACACTGACAAACAAAATGAAACAAAATCTGAAAGGTACACATAGAAACACGCCGAGACAGAAAGAGGAGCAGGTGGATTACAGAACACAAACCAGAGACATCACATTGACTATTAATAATAAGCAGGCAGGGCACATCGGAAAGGGATGGTCAATGGACAAGACTGGTGATTGAATGGCAGCCAAAGGGAGCAACATATCCTTGAGGACAACCACCATAAAGATGCAGAAATGACATTAGCTCATGTACAGCAGAAATATAGATTGTCATTGATGACACTGGGAGGCCTTCATCCAGCAGTGCATTGATGATGCCAAATAGTAACAATAAAGTCACGTAGGTAAAAAATAAAATAACAAAAATCACGACGTTTCGGCCACAACACAAGTGGCTGAAACACTAATCCTTGTATAATCTTCAGTAATACAAGACAAATAACATCTCTTTCAAAATTTGAGAGTAAAAAATTACAATATGTACTTTGATCACAAAGCAACCCTAACATTTTCAAGTACAGCACAGTATGCTTTTGTACAAACGAAGAAATGACATGGCTTAAGCCTCCACAATTTAACAAAGTTAACAACACATCTCTGCTATATATTTGTTTTAACTCCAACAAGGACTGATGCAACCAAACTGTTCACGAAGTAATCACGTGTGGCATAGCAATGAGGCCAACATTTCACCCTCGACTCAATGAAGCCCCTTGTTTGTTGGCTGGGCGGCGTTTGGGGGCTCTGGCTGGGCATGTGGTGGGCGCGTTGCGTCAACAGCCACTCAGTAAGAGAGAGAAGGCACCCACGTGTAAATAAACGTGGACACGGAGGGGAAAATGTGCCATGCTGGCATTTCCGTGTCACTGGCCCACGTCATTCACTCCAAGGCTGATTGATCCAGACACTTGCAAATGGCCAAAGTGTTAAGCAACACTTAGTTTCAACCACTCCACACACACACCCTCTCTCTGCATGGCATTGATTGTACATGTAACCCCACTTGCTCGCTCCCACATGTACGTTAACTGTTTTGTTACTCCACTACTGGATGAGGGCCTCCCCACATCATGTGGGGGGTTAGTTTAACATATTTCACCACACTGGTCAACGCAGGATACTGAAGGCGGGGAGCACAGATGCTGGAGCATGGTACAGTACTGCAGTCTGCTAACAATGCAACACCACAGCAACCTACAACACCTATTTTATGCATTGGTGATCGCTCATCCAATCACTATCCATGCTCAAACCTGCTTGGCTTATGGCATTTTGGATGATCTGATTAACGATGGTAATAATGAACTGATGCAGGATTGCCACACACAATCCAGTATTAATGGTAAGCCTATCAGCATGTAAAAAAGAACTACATGGGGAGACTTACATAGCTAAATGTGAGCGAGTAAAATTAAGCATGGGAACACAGCTTTGGTGCTCACAGGGGCCAAACTTCCAAGGATGGACATAAGTTGCGTAAAAGAAATTGAACATACATACATAGCGCTCATCTCATACCTAAACAGGTGGGTGTCCTGAATTATCTGCTCCATTGCCCCTTGACTTGCCATTTGATCCCACCTTCTGGGCACTTATATATCCATCAATTTGTCTCGTCATTCAGTCACTGTCAGGTTAGCCACATACCGATTCACCTGCTGTCACATACAACAACCAGCTGTAACCACGACAACGCATCTATTCAATCGATAACTAATGTGATGTCACAAATTCTGCTGCTATTATCTATTTTTTATTTGACAAATTCTAAAATCACCCACAAAGTGTTCACTACTTTAGCATATTGATGTGCCACTACTTGAGAATATTGGCACAAGACAGAGGGAAGTGGAAACAAACGTGGACACCTACAGGCTATCTGCCCCATATATCGTGAGTGATGATGACCCACAGATTACTCAATGGGAATTACACACAGCAATCATTGCCCCCTACTGGCTGACTATTGCCCCAGGTCACTCTTGCAAATCATATTATCCTTCTGATCTCTACAGAGTTTCCCACCTGGTTAAAACAAAATGAACTTGACATTTGAATCTGTACCTGCCAGCTGCCACCTCCGCAATTCCACTCGTCGCATAATGAATACACCCCACGCATCATCCGCGCCTGTGACCGTATCTCCTGGAATGTGCCCGATCTCGTCTGGTTGAGCTCGAACAGTGCTTGGATGAATCTTGATTTGAAGCTTTCGTGACTGCTGAAATCCACTCTTTGGTTCTTTCGGTAAAGTCACGCAGGTATAAAATAAAATAAATCACGACGTTTCGAGCGCAACACAAGCGTCCGTCATCAGGTGGGAAAGCATGGTCTGCTGCTGAGGCAGACTGCCTCAGACTTTACCGAAAGAACCAAAGAGTGTAGTGCTTGGTTGGATGAATGACCGCCATGCACAGCAGGTTGTTGTTCTTGGCTGCTGTGAAGCTAGCACTATTGTACCGTGCTTGTGTTAACTGCTTCTCCGCTTCCCCCCCCCCCCCCGTCTTCACCAACCCACACTGACCAGAGTGGTGAAATATGATCAAACAACCCCACGTGAGCGGCGAATCATGTGGAGGCCCCTCAGCCAGCAGTGCGTTGACAAAAGGGGCTGTACATGTACATCACCTACAAACCACCAACTCACATGTCCACCTGTTATCACCCCCACTCATATGCGGTCGCCTCACCAATCCACCTGTTATGCATTATCTAAGTGCCACCCCAACAGCCGAGATCACCTTACAGGTCCACCTGTAAAGTAGCGACACACATCAGCTGATATCATCTTACAAGCCCATCTGTCATCGTCTATAACGACCCCCAGGTGTCACTTCAATAATCCACCCGTTGTATCTATAACCCAACCAGCCTGCTGATATCATCTTACAGGGCCCCCCCCCCCCCTGCTTACGCCTACACCCACCAATTGATAGCATACAAACGTAGCAGTCACCGACACCCATCAGATGATGTCTTAGAAGGCCACAGGGCACCTACACCAATCAGCTGATATCATCCTACAAGTTCATTTACCACCCCAGGTGTCACGTCCAAAAATACACCTGTTGCAACTACTTTCCACCAGCCAACTATATATAATCTTGACTTGAAGCGTTCGTGACTGCAAGAATTAATATCCTTTGGGTATAAAGCCACGTAGATAGGTTCAAAGATAATAACAAAAAAAATACGTTTCCATCGCAACACAAGTGTTCGACTTCCTGATGACGAACGCTTGTGTTGCGATCGAAACGTCGTAGTTTTTTTGTTATTTTCTTTAAACCTATCTACGTGACTTTACCGAAAGACCTAAAGAATAGCTATATATCATCTTGATTTGAAGCTTTCGTGACCGCATGAATCCATAGGTAAAGTCACGTAGGTAATTTTTTTATTATTTGATTATTTTTTTCTATCTACGTGACTTTACCGAAAGATCCAAAGAATAGCTATGTATCATCCGCACGTGTCCCACACGCACGCACCCACCCCGGTTCCTCCACCACACCACCGGTTTTAACCTCCAGCCAGCCACCAGCCGTGTCAGCGACACCCATCACATGGCCACGCACGCACATTCGAGGCAGGGTGGCAACTTTGTTTCCGCCACCCCCCCCCCAACTAAAAGCGACACCAATCGTCAAGCTGGCGGGCTGAGTGGGCAGGTTCGCCCAAGCCGAGCCCCGGTCCACGTTGCAAATGCCGGTTTAAGACAGCGTGTCGAGCCATACGGTGTACCCCGTAGTCGTGCGCAGGCGAATTGAGTGTTCACGTGCATCCGGAGTGCAGCCGTTTCAGTACGGGCAACCCAAAAAAAAATGTGCCAATTTGTTTGAGTTTCTCCCCTGTGATTTGGGACTTTGTAGGACGAACGTTGGGATTTATAAGGGGTAACGGGGGTGACCAATAAGGTCCTGAATTGGTCCCGTCAGAAAGTACGGGCACCGATTAAGGGGTTGACAGATATGGGGTTAATAAACACGCGTTGGGAACGACGGTGGTGGTGGTGGTTGTGGTGGTGGTTGTGGTGGCGGCGGCGATGACGACGATGAGAGAAGTCATGAGGTAGAAGGGGACCACGACACCAACAACAACAAAACGACCGCGGAGAATTCAAATAAATTTCCACTCGACTCGGTGCATCAATGAGCGCTGATGGGTGGGGGGTTACCTTCGCCTTTCCCGCTTCCACCTTCCTGCGTCGCTTCTCCTCCTCCATAGCTCGGCGGCAGGGCTCGCTCTCGCCGACCCGCTCGGCGATTTGTAGACGATAGAGAGAGAGAGAGGGAAACCGCGTTACGGATGCATGCCAAGCAAGAATAAATTAAATTAGTTGAAGAAGTAAAACGACTCGCGGCGGTCACGTCCGCTTCCTACGGGCGGCTCTCCCCTTTGCAGGCTATGGCCGCTCGAGATCTCGCGAGAAATCTGGCCCACCTGTGCGCCAAATCTCGCGAGCGTTTGTGCTGGCACCGCTCCCGCCCCCCTCCTCCTTTTCCCCTCCGCTCCCTCCCCCGCCCCTCCCGCCCCTCCCCCTCCCTTCCCCCTCCCCCTCCCTTCCCCCTCCCCCTCCCTTCCCCCTCCCCTCCCCTTGCCCCGCCCCTCCCTTGCCCCGCCCCTCCCCTCCCCCGGACCTCGTGGCTCTCACCTGTGCCAGGTGATGATGCTAAGTGCTGACGTCACCGCTGTGTATCGTGGTGGGGAGGCCACTCCATACTCATGATTGGGTGATGCTGCTGCTGCTACTGCAAGTCCTGCGTTGGAAAGCGGTGGGCACAAGCACAAATAATGAAAAATATATAATTGGTGACGTTTCGGGCGATGGCCCTTGTTGCCTTGGTGCGGTCTCGGGACTGTTTTTGTTGTTTTTCTGCCTTGTCCAAGCTTGCATTTGGTGTTGCCAAATCGGTGGCAATTTATGTACAGTGGTACCTCGGAGATCGCACGCCCCAGAACTCGAACAATTCGGTGATCGAACAAAATTTTCGACCATTTTTTGCCCCAGACATCGAACAAAAATTCGGAGGTCGAACAACTGGAAAAACCTTTTTGGGCCGAGACGCGTAGCCAGGGCGACCGAGACAAAGGCGAATGACCCAGTTTACCCGTAGCTCTCGTCCTTTATCACTGTAAAGTCCCTGCCCCCCCCCCCCCAATACGACTCCTCCCATCCAGCCCATGGACCAACAGGTAATTTCCAACTCTCAAAAACTCTACACGAAGGCCCTTTTTCAAAAGTGGCAAAATGGGCTGAGTTACACAATTTTGTAGAAAAATATCATCCAGATAAGGCAGTAGCCAGCAGAGCAGGCAATTTTTATAATGATAATGCATTGAGTAATTTCAGAAACATCTTAAAACGGAGGCAGAAACAATCCTCTCTTGATCAGTTTTTAGTAAAGAGGCCCTCAAGTGAATCACAGTTAGTGCTAGAAAAAAAGGCAAGGAGAAGAAAGAACCCCAGAAGGGCAGTTACCCAACATGTTTATGGAGGGGGACTCCCCTTCCAAGCAACAGACACCTCATCCTCCCCTCCTCATCACCTTCCACTCAAGCCATCCACTCTCCTTACTACAGGTAAAGTGAATTCTAGATTTAAAGCTATCGTGACTGCAAGGGTCCATACTCTTTGGTTCTTTTCGGTAAAGTCACGTAGGTAAAAAATAAAACAACAAAAATCACGACGTTTCGGCCACAACACAAGCGGCCTTCATCAGGTGAAGGGATCAGGCTGTCTCGAGGACAGCGCTGGAGTGAAACACAGCCACGCTCAGACCGCGACCTTTAAGCTGCGTGCGAGGAAACAAGGTGCCTTGACAAAATAATTAGCATAAAAAATTAGCATTTGATTGGCCGACTTCGCATGATGAACGGTGTAGAGGTGGTGTACATGCGGGTGAACATGCCGGTTGGCGCGGGGGGGAGGGGGAGTTTACCTATTGATGGTGTGAAAAGGGAATTTTTAAGAGCTGCGAAAGTTTGGGGTACCACTACTTGAAAAATATACTGTACCATTGAAAATTAGTTTAATGTTTGGTTCGATTTAGAACTCCTTTCCAATGGTTGCTTAATTTGAAACCATCTTCTCGGGTTTTTATCAGAGATTTGTTCACGAGGCAATTCAGATCTACAAACACAGAGACAATTTCAACCGAGATGGTTTCAAATTAAGCAACCATTGGAAAGGAGTTCTAAATCGAACCAAACATTAAACTAATTTTCAATGGTACAGTATATTTTTCAAGTAGTGGTACCCCAAACTTTCGCAGCTCTTAAAATTCCCTTTTCACACCATCAATAGCGCTGTCCTCGAGACAGCCTGGTCCCTTCACCTGATGAAGGCCGCTTGTGTTGTGGCCAAAACGTCGTGATTTTTGTTGTTTTATTTTTTACCTACGTGACTTTACCGAATAGAACCAAAGAGTAGGTAAAGTGAAGTTCAATGTTCATTTATTCTATTAATTATAACCGTGTTTATTGTTTTTGTATGTTTTTATGTACTGTACCTTATTTTAATATTGTAAACTTTGTGTAAAAATGGCCCATAATAGGAGCATCCTTGGGTGGGGAACCATTTAATGCTATTTCCATTCATTCTTATGGGGAAAGTTGATTCGGTGTTCGAACAATTCGGTGTTAGAACACGGTTTTGGAACGAATTAAGTTCGATCTCCGAGGTACCACTGTACTTGTGCAAATTAGTTTTTTTATACTTTATATTTATGTATGACGACTTGCTTGCCTATTCTCTATTTGTTCTAATATCGTTTCAATTTTTTTGTTGATGTAACTCGTTGACCCGCCCGTCCGTCAAAAGAGCTTCATAGCTCAAAGGATTCCTCCAGGATAATTATTCCGATTCTCGTTCTTGTTCTATGAAGGGCTCTTGCCTGAATTCTCGCATATTACTGTGTATATTTTGTTTCATTTTAAGATAGTGTTATTGATTAATGTTGCGCTTTTATTGATACACAACTCCGCCGTAGTAACGTGGAATGCAGAACCCTCTTGAAAAAAAAACGTATTGAGACTCAAGTGAGGCTTTTCTGTGTAAAATCTATTTCGTTATTATTATAGATATTATTAAAATATTAATTTGTAAATGTACAGGAATGCTGAAAAGGGAATAAAAAGCACAGTGACTGTAAAAAGCAGAGCTATCTGACTTTAGCTCGCAACATCAGTGTACACGTGCTTGTCATTAATCATTGACAAACAAGATAGCCACAGACATCGGTTACCGGGTTTACAATTCAATGTTTGCCGAATTCGTAGCCCATTGACAATACACTGCTGGATAAATGCCTCCTCCCCACGCTGTCGGTCATAGGGGTTGCTTGACCACACTTCTCCACGTTAGTAAGGGCGAGTTGAAGGTGAGACAATACCAGTATTATGTCCCAACAAAACACACAACTAAGAATTTATACATAATCCAGGTTTTTTTGGGTTTGATCGCGTAAATATGTAGTGTAGTAGAACGACACTACTGTATTGGCTGGGCATGGGGGCTGTAGGCAGGTGTCACAGGGGTCGTGTCGGGCCGTGACACTCTGCGTGAACCCAACAGGACACGTGACCGGATAAAGGGGGGTCACGTGGTTAGGGTTCGGACCTTCCCGAAGGATCGGGAAGGGGGGCGTGGCCTGGGGCGGAGCCGGCCACGCTGCAGTGGTTATAAGCGGGGTGTGGACGGAGAGCTGGGGGCTGTTCTGGGCTGTTCTGCTGGGTAAAGTTTGGGATGAAGCCACCATCTACGATCCTCGGTCTCCGGTCCAGTGATGTAGTATCCCCGTGTGTTAGCTAAGTTAGGTACGGTGGTTACCACCCTATGTCGTTATCCTGTTAATGTTAAGAGTTACCCGTTGTGTTTAGTTAATAGTGTTGCCTCCAAAGTTCCGGTGTGCACCTGAATTTAACCCACTACCAATATATAAAAGTGTTGTTTAAACCGTTACCACCCGACAGCCAATTAGTAAGGTTTGTCACGTAAACAGAACAAGACAATTCGTTACTAGTACAGCACAGCAGTGTGTTGGAGAGCAAAGCCACAACATTTACAATTAAAAAACCTGTAATCTTTGGTTATTTCGGTAAAGTCACGTAGATAGAAATTTAATAGACCACGACGTTACGATTGCAACACAAGCAACCGTCATCAGGTGAAACTAACACAGCAGGAGAACTGCTGACGTAGTAGAAAGAGCTGCTGCAACAAGAGTTTATATAAGCTTTTGGTGGGTCCAGCCCAAGGGTAAGTGGGCGGAGCTAGAGAAGAAATTTGCACGTAAATGTAAGAGATTAGCATGTCAATGTGAGACGGCTCCAGCAACCGGGGGTGTGCCAATGAGAAGATTAGCATGTCAATGTCAGAGAGCCGGGCAACAGGGAACCCGCAAGAGCAAGAGATACACATGGAGAGAGACACACAGAGAGAAACACACACAAAGAGACACACAGAAAGACACACAGAGAGAGACCACCCACAAACAAAGAGGGACATCCACATAGAGAGACACACACAAAGACACAGAGACACAAGCACATAGAGACACACACAGACACAGAGAGAGACACAACCTAGAGAGACACAGAGAGAGAACACATAGAGAGACCCACACAGAGAGACACATACGGAGACACACACAGAGACATACACAGAGACACAACACAGAGAGACACACAGAGACACACTTTCTGTCTCTCTGTGTTGTCTGTCTCCGCATATCTCCGTGTAGGTTTCTCTCTAGGTTGTCTCTCTCTGTCTCTATGTGCTTGTGTCTCTCTGTGTCTGTGTCTCTCTCCATGTGTATCTCTTGCTCTTGTGGGTTCCCTGTTGCCCGGATTTCACATTGACATGCTAATCTCTTACATTTACAAATTCCTTCTCTAGCTCCGGCCACTTACCCTTGGGTTGGACCCACCAAAAGCTTATATAAACTCTTGTTGCAGCAGCTCTTTCTCCTACGTCAGCAGTTCTCCTGATTGTTTCACCTGATGGCGGTTGCTTGTGTTACGATCGATACGTCGTGATCTATTAATTTTCTATCTACGTGACGTTACTGAAAGCACCTAAGAGTACGGATTCCTGCATTCACGAAAGCTTCAAATCAAAATTAAAATCATGTATGTGTTAAACTAAGAATGTATAAGATGCAGTATCATCCATAGCTTTCACGACCAGCAGGATACACATAGAGGCAGGTGGAGCAGTCACTGTCATGAGGTTTTTTGGGGAGTAGGTACGAGGCCCGCAGAGACATTTCCACAATCAGTGTTTATATCAGTGGCTTGGCTATCTCGTGTGGCGGTGTTGGAAATGCACCGGGACCATAGCCCAGTGAAACACAAGTGCCGAGCTGCTAGGTGGCAGGAGATTGGGTAGTGGGGCCCCCTTCTCATTTCTCAGAGTTCCAGGCAGGAATAATGCCAACGACGCTCCACCGCTGGTTGACATCACAGAACATTCCACAGTGTAACACTTTTTATATTTTGTTACTGGGTAGTAAGTGTTTTCCTAATTTCTTATGCCTCAAAAGTACAGAAAATGGCTATTATTCCCCACAAATTTTGCTTTTGTGACCAGGACAGTGATATTTTGAAATTTACCTATTTTCAATGTGAAAACGGGAGAATTTGTCTTTTCGTTCACAAAGTCAGAAAACAGCAACATATGAATCAAAATTTACATGTATTTATACTAATGTAATACAAAAATGACTACAAAAGATTTAGACACCAAGGTGCGTACTACCACAGGCGGGACTGGCCACAGCGGACCGAGTTCTCTGTGGGGAGGAACAATCTCGAAAAACTACTCGCTTCTAAATCTTTGGTAGTCATTTTTGTATTACTTTAGTATAAATACATGTTAATTTTGATTCATGTTGTTTTTTTCTGACTTTATGTGAACGAAAAGACACAAATTCGACCGTTTTGTCATTGAAAATAGGTAAATTTCTAAATATCACTGTCCTGGTCACAAAAGTAAAGTTTGTGGGGAATAATAGACATTTTCTATACTTTTTAGGCATAAGCAATTACGAAATAACACTTACTACCCAGGAACAAAAGTTGTGTTACATAGTGTTATCAAACGGAGCCAGCTAGTGCAAATTTCACTACCCCTGAATGAATGGCTGGGCTAACCCTGGGATGGATTCACGGTAATGTCGCAATGCATTTAACACCATTCACTCTCCCAAATGTACATGGCATCTGTCAAGCTGCTGATTAATGGATTGCCTACCTATGCCGTAAGGGTTGCAGTAGTAATGTGATCTTGATGGCCACCCATTCAAAATCATGTGCATTCTGGCTTATGTGGTAATAAAGTCTCCCACACATCATATGTAATTGGAAGAAAGGTTTGCCTGGTCCCTTTGTTCTTTGCCAGTTACACAATGGTACAAGAGACACAGGCGTTATACATTTGTAATGCATATATGTTCTGCCATCGTGAGGCCCATTTCTAAGTGTGAATATTTGCCAACAATTGTTTCAGTTTGCAGTCTCTAAAGCTCAAATGATTATGGGCTGAAGGTGTTGTGAACTTACTGGCATTTTGAAGGACACTTACAGTAAATACATGGAACTTGGACAATTAAACCAAGTGGAATAATTGCGTTAGCTGGATGAATTTTACGACCAAAAAATAGTCAGTGGAGCGCGTGTGTTCGTCACCATTTTAAAACAAAATAAAACTGAATTCTGTACAAAATGTGTTAATCATTCACATCTCGTTTAAATCCATGAACACAGGTGTCACATTTAACAGTGCAAGCACTGTTTCCCATAGTTAAAAATACATTTTAAAGCGATGTATGTCTTGTCCAACATAAGTCGACATTCAACATTCTTAGTGCTTTAGTAGTTGTTTGTCAGTGTTATTGCGGTAATCCGCTTAAAAACTAGCTAATTGGCATGCCTGGATTACATTATTTAAAAATATATGATCATGTTTCAATCTATATTATGAAGGTCTCTGAAACAATGTGCATCTTCTAATATTTTTTAAATAATAAAACATAAAGAGATCCATGTAGGCCAGAATAGCATGTATGAAAGCTATAGAGGGAAAAAAATAACACTGTAACATTAAGTGAAAAAAGGTGTAGTGATACAAAATAAAATATTTCCGTGCATTTCTCAGATTTATTTAAACACGTTCTTTCGTGAAAAACTGCAATAAGTGCTAAACAGAATTGTGGGATAATTAGTTAAAATCAGGTGGTGGGGAAAATTAACTGGGTAAAATTGATTCAAACCTTACTTCATCTTCAACTAAAACAGTGATAAATGTGCAACTGTGGGTATTAATTTTCTGCGGAGATGCGGTTGAGCGTGGCGGTGTTGGCAGCATCTGAGAGCAGGCGTGGGTGGCTCCGGTCGTGCAGCGCGGCGCTGCATCATGGTCTGTGCGCACGCATCCTCGTGCCGGCGCTCAAAAGCCGTGCACCTTCAGCTGGTCTTCCTTGGCAATGCCAACCTAAGCACAAAATAAATACCCCCCCCCCACCCGCATTGTCAGTGTTGCCACTCGCTGGCATACATCCCAGTGATTATTGTAGTCATGAGCGTACATAAGAATGCGTGAAAAAAGTCACATGGTTTTTGGAAATACTTTAGATTGTGTCGCCAAAGGGCAGGTCGTACATTTGGTGGGTAGATGACTCACGGTTAATGCTGTAACAGAGCACTGAGCCAGCACTAGTGACATTGAGTTTGAATATGGGCAACTATCTATGATTAAAGGGCAACACATTCATAGTATTTGCCTGGTTATTCTTTGCACAAAAAACATTACTAGTTCGTATTATTGCACTTGTTTAACCAGGAAAGTCTCACTGAGTCTCAACAGTATTTTTCAAGAGGGACCTGAAGTTTTTGCAGTAGAGGGCAACGATTATTGTGTTTCACAATTAAGTAATTTGCGAGTGATTTTTCACATTTGGCAAATTTGGACCATGAAACTGGCACGATAATAGCCTACTCTTCTTCAGATGACGGCTCGTGTTTTCTAACGCCCGCTGTGAGGCTGACGGCACTTATTTAATGGTTAATGCACCCATAGTGTTAACCAGGATGACCTTCCAAATTCGAACCACAAAGCTTTGCAACAGGTAGCTTGGCCACGTCACCGCCCCAAACATGGTTTTGAATTCAAGGCATACTTTCATATATGATAATTACAACATTTTTGGTATAAATGCCATCCAATTAATGTATCCATAATAGGGCACATGAAAAGACAAAGCATAGTGAGAATAAGTGGTAACTCAAAGGATCTCAGTCATTTCCACCTTGTAAAGGTCGTTCCTTAATAAGGGGTGATGCACTGCTTTCTGCAACAGTTATCAATATACATTTCTTCATCTCATGCCATGATACCAACAGGTCAATTGGAATATATGCAGGAATAAATAACGATTTTATAAAATGTATAAAAACCCGGTAACATTCACACGGACCTCGGCAAGGAAGAGGCAGATGTTCTTACGCTGGTCTCCCTGCAGCTGGATCACCTCCCCGTACTCTGGATGCTCAATCACAGTACCATTGCAGGCAAACTTCTGTCGGAGATACGTACATAAACATAAGACATTATAGACACTCGCACAGAAGCAGGCTGGAGAAATTACCTACAAATAATTTTACAATGCATCTTAGTTTGTGTGTGCAGTAGAGCTCTGAATGAATTAATTAGACAAAATATAAAAGCATATACATGAAATGACACCGACACATGCACTAGGAGCCTCTTTATTTTCGACACAGCCTCAACTCTAGACCCGGCTTCTTCTCCTGACTTGAAGCTCGTACTTTCCCCCCGAACGTCCCCTTCCCTTGTGCTCTCCCCTTCTATTTCTCTCAAGCCCTCTCTCTCGAACTTTCGGTCCCTTTCTACTAGCCAATCACCGTCCTCCCTTCGGTTCTCAACCGTCGCCTCCAGGTTAGACTTCCGCTTCCTGCCTTTTCCCGTTTGAACCTTTCTTCCAATCGCTTCAAACCTTGCCTCCTGACCAATCATGCTGGAGGCCTATTTATGCCAATAGGAGACCTTGGCCTACTTCTCGGAAGTTCGTTTTGGCTGCACATTTGCTTGGGGCGAGTGCTTCCTAATTTTGGTCATAACACATATTTATCCTGCTCGTGAGTAGGATTCTAGTTTTTGCAGGATGTCATATATTTTTTACATACTATCGATTTTTCAAAGAACTTTTAATCAAATAAACGACACTTATTCGGATGAAGATATTTGAAGTGGCAGTGCAGTGTTTAGGGCATTCTCCTATGAACCCAGCAAACCTGAGTTTGTTTCCTGGCCAAGGCTAACATCAGTGGTGAGTAATATCTGAACCAGTGATTGGCCCCCTCCCAAGCCCATTCACCAATCCATACTGAACTGGGTGCAATAATCCACCCAACACCTGCATCCACGTCGATTGCAAATCCCCTGCTCTGCGGTGGATCTCCTCTTCGTCACATTCCTTCCATTTGGCTGTCACTTTATTGTTGTTCTCGTCTGAAGGCCATTATCCCTTCAAGCAACATCTTGTGCCCAAGTTCACTTTTCTTCAGGATAAAAATTATGTCGTTAATCTGCCCACGTTCTATTTAGTTGCTATATAAATATTAAGTTGTTACTGTAATTAGCAACACATTTTATACATTTCAGAAATATAACTGCAGCATCATGAGCACTGATTGTACAAAAAAAATCCACCATGTTAAATTGTGTTCTGTACTTAAGTTTGTCAAATTCCAGCTTTGAAAATTAAATATAAAATTGACTGTCACACGGCCTAACATTACCCTCATGTGCAGAGTGGATGTGGAAACTGCTGTCCTTTACTGTGTGGATCGGAGGTCACTCAGGAAAACTTCAGAAATAGCTCTGTGACATTTGCTTCCATTGGCCGTTCTTTAACAAGAAAAGGTGCCCTGCCCTGTGAGAGATCCGAATGGGTTCTTCCATCTCGTTAACATGACACCGACAGCAGAATTCAGATAACATGTGGAAAATGTATATGAAAACAATTGGCAGAATCATGCTGCTGTGCCCCATCCTGTTATGTTTACAGTGAAAAATGTGTCACATCCGCCACGTACCTTCTTAAAAGCCTTGACCAGCTTCTTCTTGTCGTAGTCATCGGCGATGCCCTGCACGGACGTCAGAGTCTTTCGGCCGTTCCTCTGCTGGATCCTTATATGGACGTAGTCCTCTGTCCCTTCTGGGAGGCTTTCCTCACCCTTAGTTGCATCAACAAAGGGGTCTGTGCCACAGGAGAGAATGGAAGGATTATACGTTGTCCAATTATGTTCCTTTTGTAGCCAATGCCTTTCACCAAATCACACAGAATGGGCCTAATCTAGTCAGATTATGTCAGCTCATTAGTTAAAGTCTAGTTATTGCTTTGATGGGTGACCATCATCAACAAAACAGGTTCTGCCGGTTACTGCAGAGCTACATTGTCAGCAAAGGGCAGTTCAGCAAAATCCATGGTTGTTCGTGGTCTTGTGCTCCCCACCAATCCACACCAACCAGAATGAAGAACGGTAAAATAACCCCCACGACTTGCACATGATGCGGAGAGGCCCTCATCCGGCAGTTGACAAAAGGGCTGTACATAGCCAATATATGGACGTACTGTAACTTGTATTTTATATACCTCTATTACCATGCCAGTGTAATAAACATGTTTATGCCGAACGTGGGTGCGCATGCCTGTAATCCAGCACTTGGGAGAGATCTGTCAGGGGATCAGAATAATGGGAATAACCGGTAAAAATCGGTTACCGGTTTGCCGTACACATAGAAATGTCTATCAATAAACGCAACGTTTGTACCTTTTTAATGGAGAAGCGTAGAGAGAGATACCTTAGTGTAATGCATATAGCAACACTGGACTTTCCATCCAGAAGGGCCGGTTTGATTCCACCTCCCAGCACGGCAGTCGAAACAATGGGGCACGTTTCTTAAATCCCCCCCCACCACAACACCTCATCGCCTCTCTCCATCCAGCAGTATAAATGTGTACACCAAAGTTAGTCGTTCAGCAGGGCAAGTGTGGTGGGGTAAAGTGTGAGTATTGCCCGATAACTCTCTACAGCTCCCTCGAGAGGAGGTTCAAACGGAAGCAGTGGCTTGAGCAAGCCTTTGCAGTCCTTCATCCCGATGTTTTACTTAACCATAAAAATGCATTCATGACGAACATTTCACTGGAATCAATAACCGATTCCTCACTTCAGGGAATTGGTAATCAAACGGCTACCAGTTATGTTGACAACCCCCCAAAATATACACATTCATGGGCAAAATTCGATGCTTGTAACATGAGCTTGTAAATCAAATCGATAATAGCCTCTCCTTGAGCTTCATGTGTTCGAGTAATAACCCCTGGCCGTCTGCACCGCGGGAGAGTGAATGCATCACCACTCTGACAGTTCATCAATAGATTCCCATCATCACCGAGCGTTACGCTCAGCTTCACTTGGTCAAACGCATCCCGAGGGTGTACGTACACTGCAATAAGTTATTGACCTATCGGTTAGGATGAGTTTTCTGGCTACCTTCTAATATGCGTGGGGTTTCTCTTGACACGGCCTTTCTCAAACACTACCTAATAAAAAAAACGCATTACTTAAAATGTATTAAACATTATAAATAAGCTCATCATATCGTACTGTACTGTATTCGTAAAAAAGAAGTGCTAGTTCTGTGAAAAAAAAACCGTATTGAGAGGCAATGCGGCTGTTATATGTAGTTTGCTAAAAATGTAATTAACGGCATCACCGCTCTCACCACCATCATCCTACTTCATGGGCGCTGTGGTCGAGTGCACAGTTCGTATTCGCAAGGTTACGAGTTCGTATTCCGGTTGGTCAGAGGTCAAATAACTCAGCCTTTTATCATTAAACCGGGGGCCGATAAAATTGGAACCACTCTGTGGGTAGGTCAACAGCGGCTGTCATCGAGCGAAATTCACTTCGGTCATTGGAATGTCGAAACGGCACCGTCGACTTTAGGCTGTGGACAGCGAATGATCACCCACATTTTTTATTTGTTTTTCACCATCGCCGTCATCACCATCACCACCATCAGTGGTGATGGCGCAGTTGGCAACGGCACGGACCCTGATGCAAAGAACAAAATAGGTCTTCCTCCTCCTCCCTTGTACAATTGTCCCGCTCGTCGTTGCCAGGGGCATGGGCCGGCCCTCTGACCCGTGGGCGCTTGTGCGCAGTTGCACCGCCTGCACACTCGATTGCTACCAATACCCGTCACTCGCTGCTCAGTGGCGGCACCGTCACCGTGCCAGGCCACGTGCACTTTGAAGCCACGTGCACTTTGAGGCCACGTGAAGTGTCGAAGGCTCGCTGCTGACTGGTATCGGGACAGGCCCAGCAGGTGCCAACGGGTTGGCCAACTGAGATGACCGGAAGATGCGCCACCAAAATGTGTACTTCCCCATCATATAATTTTAAGCTTTTGTTGTAATAACTGTGTCAACTTGCTGCATGTTATCTGCCCGGCGCTCCGCTCGTTTCTGTGAGCGTCGCTCCTGTGACCTCCAACTGCCCAGTAGCGTCCTTCGATAGCTACGCAACTATCGTTACCAGCATCAACGAAACCACTCACGCCACGATCACATCCATCACAATGACCACCACAAACACAACGTATGCCACCAACACCACCATCAACTACCACTTTCGCTCCTCCGATAATTACGGTTGGCTACGTAAGGTGCGAAAGAAGTTGCGCATACGGTACGTACATCATAACCGTTACAATGACCATACTTATTGTATCACTATAATCAATCCACCGTTATGAGCACCGTTACTTTACCCATAACCATCAAACACAGTCACCATCATACTGTGCTTATATTCATCACTACCACCACCAAATCGCCTCCATGGTCACCATCACCACCGCCAATATCCACCACGGTCACCACTACCAATATCCACCACGATCACCACTACCAATATCCACCACGATCACCACTACCAATATCCACCACGATCACCACTACCAATATCCACCACGATCACCACTACCAATATCCACCACGGTCACCACTACCAATATCCACCACGGTCACCACTACCAATATCCACCACGATCACCACTACCAATATCCACCACGATCACCACTACCAATATCCACCACGGTCACCACTACCAATATCCACCACGGTCACCACTACCAATATCCACCACGATCACCACTACCAATATCCACCACGATCACCACTACCAATATCCACCACGGTCACAACTACCAATATCCACCACGATCACCACTACCAATATCCACCACGATCACCACTACCAATATCCACCACGATCACCACTACCAATATCCACCACGATCACCACTACCAATATCCACCACGATCACCACTACCAATATCCACCACGATCACCACTACCAATATCCACCACGATCACCACTACCAATATCCACCACGGTCACAACTACCAATATCCACCACGATCACCACTACCAATATCCACCACGGTCACCACTACCAATATCCACCACGGTCACCAACACAATCACCACCAGCACAACCACCACAATCTCTTCACCAAAGCAATGACCGCAATTATCACCACCACCATCTCCACCAATAACAATCGCCACGACCACCCTCATCATCTTCACCAAATCACCACCAGTGCCACCACCATCACCACCACCACCGGGGCATAAGGCGGCCGTAACATCCCCTCACCGAAAGACTGGAGATTCTGTATCGCTGACATACGACAGACTGCGCGTGTCCCTCTCCTAGGCAATGGACCCCGGCTCCCTCCTCAGCCATGTTCGGTGATCTTCTCTCCTGGACCGGTTGCACCGCGACTTGTCCCACCTTCCCCGGCCCCCCACTCCTCCTCCTCCTCCTCCCCGGGCGTGCCGTTATAAAACAACAACAAAATCTCCGCCTTTTGTCTCTCGCCACCACCCCGTTCCGCTTCACCGCCAAACGCTGCAACAACAACAAAAAGCCCCGCACAGAGGCAACCACCAAGGAGGGTGAGAGGCACCGGGCGTGCGTGCGGGTGACATGACGTCACAGCGGTCGCCTCGGCGACGAATTTTAATAACGGCGGGGTGGCGGTGACGTCACGGCTCGCGACGGATCCGTGAGACGAGGTTTGTAATCGTTACGAAAATTTGCGACTTCGTCCGTTTCAGAGGCTGGCGACGGCACGACGTCGCCCTTTGAACAGCAATGACGTCATATTCAGCAATGACGTCGTTGCGATGGGCCAATGGCGCTGCGTCATCGTGCGCAGCCTTCAGAGACCACGTGTTTGTGTGGTGGAGCTGTAGCGTAGCGAACACAAACGACCCCAGTTCGACTCCCGCTTACGGCCAACACCAGTGACGATTGTCTGATCCGGTCCTGGGCTTCCCCTAGACAGACTCGGCCTTAAATTAGTATCTGATGCGGTGTGCAAACATCAGCACTGGGGAGAAAAGGCATGATGCTGGCCAACCACCCCAAGTGTCGTGTTGGACTTCAAAGGTGCTCGCTAATAGGAATTGGCCCAACAGTTTAAGACTACAATAGGGGATCATTGTTTTGATGTCTTTGGTGCAAGTTAAAAGTATGTTACGTGCCGTCCATAAATGACGTCACGCACCTAGGGGGGGGGGGTCAGACATTTGTGACGTGTGACGAAGGGGGGAAGGTGGGTTTGAGAAATGACGTCACATCACAATGCGCAACTTTAAATAAATATAAACACGTTCTACTTAGACTTTCTAATAAATGTTTTCTCCTCCAACATCAAAGTGCAGCGCCACATTAAATGCGCACTACAATGACAATAGTTTAAAGCGATTTGAAGCATGTTTTATATTTTTGGGGGGGGGGGGGCAGAGCTTTGTGACGTCATATTAGAAGGGGGGTCTGACTTTGTGACGCCGTGTGACGAGGGGGTCAAAAATCGTCCAAAATCGCGTGACGTTATTTATGGACGGCCCCCAATGCATTTCCACGCCAAAACAAGAGTAACAAACCTAGTACAGAAAAACTATTTTATTACGGCGTTAATTCGATTAGTGCTCACAATTTGGAGCCTAAATTCGAACGTCTTTTTTTACGATTCCCGGTGTTGTCTGTCTCAAACACTGTCTTGCTCTTTATAATTGCCTGCACACTTAATTTGCATATAATGGTATGCATTATAAACGAGAGTGAAATAATCTCTCTAAATTGGCATTTCCAGAATATATATTCATAACGCCACGTACATAGGAAAGGCTTTGCAATATGCATACCTTTACCACGCATTTCATTACATCTTGCCGTTGCGAGCCGGCAGGGTTCTTAAAATATATCTGGTGGGCCAAAATATAATTAGTGTGCTGGCGGATTGCGTGACGTCACATTTACAAACGTTAAGACGTCCACGTGGCACGATTTCAAAAAAGTCTGTACATTTGACCACTAATCTGCATCTCTCATCTCCAAATCTCATCTTTATCGTCTGTTGTTGATCTGAGCAATCTCTATTTCTTTAAGTCTTGGTGGACCCTATGTCAGCCATTCCAATAGCCCTCAAGGCCACAATTGGCTCGTGGGCTACCACCAGTCCGAGCTCTGCTGAAAGACTCGAAAGCAGTGTTAAGAACATGTTTCAGACCTGGTATCAACTGCATTTACAGCTCACATCAGCTGATGAAAAAACTGTTCATATACCAGTTCATCTTCTACACCACCTTGTAAAAGGTCCACAATTCATACCTTTTCCTCACATTTCCTTTTCTCTCAAGGACCACTTTCGCTTGACATGTTTAATCATGGACTTAGTTATCAGTTCCCATTGATAAGGTTGCAAACAATGCACTTTTGAGCACTTTCAGCTCATTAATGGTCGTCACTTGCGGGCCTGTCAGGTTGAGAGAAGGGCGAGTGAAGCAGGGGGGAATCGCACAGCAGTGCGCGAGCACTCGAACCGACACCGCCGAGTGAGACAGCACCGAATTGACTCATGAGGTTGCTGTTTAGAGCTACAAAACTGGCTTTTATCTTGTAAACAAGTACCTTGGTTCGTCTTGTCTTCAGGCTGTTCCACAGGTTGGAAGCTCTGCAGTCAAGTGTTACTACAATAGTGACATCACTGCCAATTTATATCTCAAAGATTTTTTAAAGGTGTCGACAAGTGCTCATTTTGAGTAGCACCACCCTTTACATTTTCAATGCACGCGTTTAACAAATGTGGGAATTTCATTTGCAGATAATTGCAGGTATTGAGACATAGAAATGTTGCAAAAATACGGGTTCATGTTCTTTAATGTAAAATTGGTAGCTTCCCATCATATAAAAATAAGCTTTTGTTGTAATAAAGAAACCCATATTGACCTTTATATATTTTTTTACTCGTCATGGGCTACACTGACCCCGAAGTCCCATAAGCCCCCAGCTCTCACATAAACTGCGTTGCAACGTCATTGTCTGTTGAAGGCGAATGATACGGCAATCTATTCCTCTCGACGAGCTCTACACGGTGCGCTAATCAAAGTTGTGTTTCTCCTGCGCATTCGTCCTCACTGCGCTTGGACGACAACAGAATGATCCACGCCAGGTGGGTCGCGGCATTTATGCGCGCAGTGGGACGGAGTCGCCAAAAACAAATTAAGATGTTGACTTCCCTTTATTTGGACAACGACAGGTTTAACACACTTGTTCAAAACCGGCCCCGAGCAAGTTGGCAATTTCTTCCCGTTTCCTTTCTCCGGCGTCGTCCTGAAATGCGATGTCCTCCGTGGGATAGTGAATGGCAACGTCTTTGCTGCTCGACTCGTCGGCAAAGTCATCCAGCTCGGTCTCGTGCAACAGACAAATGTTGTGGAACACACAGGCCGTCATGATCACATCCACCATTCCGTTCATATCGGACATGTCCAGGTACTTCAAGCGACAAAACCGGCCCTTCAACATGGCAAAGGCCCTCTCGATCACGCTCGTGGTGGACATCTGCACAAAGTTGAACTTCTGCTCGCGATCCGAAAGCATGCCGGTCTCCCGATACGGCGTCATCAGCCACGACTTGAGGTAATAAGCACTGTCCGCCACCATGTGATACTGAAGCGGTATCGTCTGCTCAGCCTCTTCAAATAACGGGGACTTCTTGAGCACGCAGAAGTCCGTGATGCACCCAGGCCAACCGGTGAAGCAGTCGAGGAACTTGTAATTGGCGTCGCACACCGCTTGAAGCACCAGTGAGAAAAACCCTTTGCGGTTGTAGTAGTTTTCTGGGTTTAGCGTGGGAGCTTTGATTGCGATGTGGCAAACGTCCAGTGCACCAATTATACCCGGAAAGCCCTTCTGGCGCTCAAACTCGGCGGCGATGCCCTCGAATTCGTCCGGCGAGGGCCAGACCAGGTAGTCCCTCATGAGGTTGTTGATGGTGGCGGCGCACACCCTGCGCAGGCACGTGAGCACGGAGGAGCGCGGGATGCCGAAGCGTTCGCCGATCGTGCGCAGGCACTCGGGAGTGGCCAGCGTCCACAGTGCCACAAGCAGCACCTTGGTGAGTGGGATCGGAGGGCGCCCCCCATGGTAGGGCTCCGTGGGGAACTCAGGGCAGCGCGCCAGCTGGCTGGCAAGCACGTCGAAGGTCTGGCGAGACACGTGGAAGTGGTGGCGGAACACATCGGGGCTAACTTGAGGGATCAGCTCCTCTGTGCTCTGAATGATGCTCGCCACACTCTCGGAGCCCTGCCTGCAAGTCATTGGAAGAGAAAACAAAACAAACAAGTTAGGAATAAAATCAAGCATTCGCACGACTCCGTAACACTTTCCAACACGTGTTTGTCCTCAAAAGCATTTATGCAGTATGAAAGTGGTTCAGCAAAAAAAACCTCGTTTGCATATTTGCGTCGTCGTGTTTGCTCTCAATTAGGTCTCCCGAGTTGTGGGCAACCCTCAAATCAATTTAGTTTTCAAGAGGTCGCCTCTAACACAGCTTTTTCCCCAAACTAGAGCAACGTGAGTTGTAAATCGTTAGTGTACGGTGCATTTGAGACTCGTGTCTGTTCTTTAATCATGCCACTCCTTGATGAGGGCCTCCACACGGCGTGCAAGTCGTGGGGGTTATGTGACCATACTTCACGCTGGTCAGTGCAGGTTCGTGAATGTGGGGGAGCAAAGTACTGTACTGTAAAATTGTCTCTGCCCTGCCCTCTGCTGCCTACGATGGAGCCCTGCGGCACTACAGGGTGTCCCATAAGTCTGGAATCTCGGGAAAAACTAACACAGGCACCTTGAGCCTGCAGAAACAAAAAAATATCTATTAGTTATTGTTCCATATGATTCCAGACTTATGGGCCACCCTGTGTAACAACCTGTGTATGGTGGTCGCCAGGCCACGATCCAGACTCAAACCTGCTCAGCTTCCGAGATCTGTATGCTTTTTTTTCATAGTCATTAACGATATGCAGGGGGGGCGGAGGTGTGGCACAGATTGGGGTTCAGATCTCACTCCCTACTTGCCGTGAATTGGTAGCGCACTTCGCGAACCGCTGCGTCAACGCTACCTCAACGAGGCTACTTGCATACAAAGGCCCTGTAATGTAGTAAAGTGCACCTAGCCTGGCACAAGCGGGGCGCCGAGGTGGTCAGATGTTAACCCTCTCGATCCCGACCCTGAAGCCTGCCGTATATTTGTAGTTTGCGTGTCTCTCTCTCCCCGTGGTCGCGTGGATTTTTATCCGAGTCCTGTTTTTCACTCCACATTTAGAATCAACATGCATTTAAGAGTAATTTGGCTGCTACACATTTCCACATAAGCCACATAGCCGAGCGATCATTTGCGGCCAGGTCGCTTCTTAAAATATCTATATAGTTCAGTAGGGCTTACCTAATCAAATAAAAAATAGTTTAACAAGTAACAGTTTAACGACCGCCCGTGCGGCGGAACGGCGGTTGTTGTTGTACGCTAGTAATAGATGTGGCAAGCACCGGCAGAGCAGAGCGGCGATCATCAGCTGCAGGTCGTCGTCTTCGGGCGCCTCCGAGTCGGACAGCAGCAGGCGCTCCGACTCGTCCATGGAGGAAACCATTTCCAGGATGAGCGACACGAGCGCCGCGGTCACCGGGTCCAGCGCACGCTTCTTCACCGCCACCACCTCCTCCTCCATCTTTGCTTGGACACGTGGGGGGTGGGGGGCGCGTGGGGTCGTCACGTGGGACGGAAGGGGCGTAGGGTGGTCACGTGGGACAGAAGAGATGCGGGGTGCGTTGGGTCGTCACGTGGGACAGAAGGGGGGGCGGGGTGCGTTGGGTGGTCACGTGGGACAGAAGAAGGGCGTAGGGTGGTCACGTGGGACAGAAGGGGGGCGGGGTGCGTTGGGTGGTCACGTGGGACAGAAGAAGGGCGTAGGGTGGTCACGTGGGACAGAAGGGGGGCGGGGTGCGTTGGGTGGTCACGTGGGACAGAAGAGGGGCGGGGGTGCGTGGGGTCGTCACGTGGGATAGGAGGGGCGGGGCGCGATAACGTGAGACTGAAGGGGCGTGTTGCGTGGTCACGTGAAAAAAAGGGGCGGAGCGTGTGGCGTGGTCACGTGGGACGTGAAGGGATGATCACGTGGGGCAGATTTACCAAATCATTAACTTTCTTTTTTTCATCCATAAATTATTTCATGTATTTACGTGGTCTAACACAACAAAAACCTTTATACTGGTAGGAACGAAGTTGTAAACTGAGTGTACCAGCCTGCAATAGATTAATGTGTCCGTCCGTCCCCTTTCAATACTTTAACGAAGTGAAATCTCGTGCTGTTGGGTGTAAAATCAGCAATAGACAGCGCAGAGACTTGATATGTCTTATTGCACCCAACATTTGGAAGTCACATTATCTCATTTGCGAACTTCTACCAGCACACCCTGCAGGGACCTGTTTACGGATATTGGTCGGGGAAGCCTACGTGTTGAACTTTATTTTTTCCAGCTTATTTGCACCCATTGTCACAAACACTCCAGTCATTAGCGGGAACCACGATCCATAATCGAGGTTCTTGGGTTAGATCGCGTAAATGTTGTGTCGTTAAAACCCGCCACCACCCGACACAGCCAACTAGTAAGGGTTGTCACGTAAATAAAACGTGTCAATTCGTCACTAGTACAGCACACCGGTGTGTTGGACGTCAAGCCACAACATCTACAATCTGAGTACGACGTTTCGCCAGTAATTATAACTAGCTTCATCAGGCGACAGCCAGAATTGTGGAGGAGTCTTACTGTTTCGTTCCTTATATAGAGGCGTCGATGTGTTGACCATGCTTCTGTGCTCTTGCACAATGATGGGGGGGGGGGGCTGGATTACTCAGGCAACGCACATTATGCATGTACATTAAGTGAGCCCTTTGATCTTGTCCTTCCTGTCTATTCTGTTTATTAAAATAGCCGTACCAACGGTAATTCCTATTAAAGTACACTGCCCTTTGTAGGCATGCATTTAAACAATGTATTATTTGATGATTCGCTTCCACGCAGCACTAAGGCGGTAGCTATTCGAACGCTTAAAGTTATTTAGATTTTACAGTTTTGATCATTAGTCTTGGCCAGTAGTAGCTAGTTGTTCACAAAACTTCAACATCAAAATCAATTGAGTGTCCATGTTGGCACGCGTGTTCTGCTACTGCTGACAGTTGTATTTGGGAGTATTTAATATGTCTCTGATGTTCTTTTAGTCTCGTGCTGATCATTCGTCCAGTTTGCCCAACATAACATTTACCACACCATATCCTGTGCACACCTTGTGTTGATTGCCTCGGCAATGCATCTTTTGTACCAGATACTGTGTTCTGTTTACGTTTTAAGCAGACAAATATCTCCGAGAACTAGGAAGTGGCCACTAAACTGTGGAAATATGATCTCGTGTTGGAGACTCCAGGTGACGAGACTGGTTATGGCCACATAGGTCTCGACAAGGCTCGGACAAATCTGTCTGGGAACGGATTTGTGCAAAGGTTTTCTGGGGACACTGATAACCACCCACATGATGGCAAGTATAACTGGGATATCTGATTATCTTGGGCATCAACTATTTACTACTATATTGAGCCAATGATGTCTGTGTCCCACGCGTGACATCATTCCACGTCGGCCAGCCCCCCTCATTAATACTCATGAACAGGTGACGTCATCCACATGGACCCTCCCCCTCATTAAGTCGTGAGTGGGTGACGTCACTCCACATGTAGCACCCCCCCCCCCCTCATTAATAATCATGAGCATGTGACATCACTCCACATCGAACAACCCCCAACATTAATAATCATGAAGAGGTGACGTCTTCCAAATGGACACCCCCCCGTGCATTAATATTAATTAGCGGGTGACGTCACTCCACATGGGGGTGCGAGGCGCCTCCTTCCCCCTCTTTGGCGTCAACTCACAACCCTCACTACAAAGGCAGAACCATCACGTCACGTGATCTCCGTAACGCTGTTGAGACATAGAAGTAAAAAGGACGTCACGATGAACAAGGGATTATAACCTTAAAATTAAATAAGTCCGTGTCACCGCGGCCTTACAAATTGCACACGAATGGATGCAATGAATATTACGTCACGGTCTGCTCTTCGCTTGCAAGTTTCAGATTTACTGCAATACACCCGTCCTTGGACGGGCAAAAGGCGAGTTGATTATAGGTTCCATCAATCATTTGGATCACACGAAAATACAGTGAGGGAAAAAAGTAATTGATCCCCTGCTGATTTTGTACGTTTGCCCACTGACAAAGAAATTATCAGTCTATAATTTTAATGGTAGGTTTATTTGACCAGTGAGAGACCGAATAACAACAAAAAAATCCAGAAAAATGCATGTCAAAAATGTTATAAATTGATTTGCATTTTAATGAGGGAAATAAGTATTTGACCCCCTCTCATTCAGAAAGATTTCTGGCTCCCAGGTGTCTTTTATACAGGTAACGAGCTGAAATTAGGAGCACACTCTTAAAGGGAGTGCTTCTCAGCTCAGCTTGCTACCTGTACAAAAGGCACCTGTCCACAGAAGCAATCAATCAATCAGATTCCAAACTCTCCACCATGGCCAAGACCAATTAGCTCTCCAAGGATGTCAGGGACAAGATTTTATACCTAGACAAGGCTGGAATGGGCTACAAGACCAATGCCAAGCAGCTTGGTGAGAAGGTGACAACAGTTGGTGCGATTATTCGCAAATGGAAGAAACACAAAAGAACTGTCAATCTCCCTCGGCCTGGGGCTCCATGCAAGATCTCACCTCGTAGAGTTGCAATGATCATGAGAACGGTGAGGAATCATTCCAGAACTACACGGGAGGATCTTGTCAATGATCTCAAGGCAGCTGGGACCATATTCACCAAGAAAACAATTGGTAACACACTACGCCGTGAAGGACTGAAATCCTGCAGCACCCGCAAGGTCCACCTGCTCAAGAAAGCACATATACATGCCCGTCTAAAGTTTGCCAATGAACATCTGAATGATTCAGAGGACAACTGGGTGAAAGTGTTGTGGTCAGATGACACCAAAATGAAGTTCTTTGGCATCAACTCAACTCACCGTGTTTGGAGGAGGAATGCTGCCTATGACCCCAAGAACACCATCCCCACCGTCAAACATGGAGGTGGAACCATTATGCTTCGGGGGTGTTTTTCTGCTAAGGGGACAGGACGTCACCACATCAAAGGAACGATGGACGGGGCCATGTACTGTCAAATCTTGGGTGAGAACCTCCTTCCCTCAGCCAGGACATTGAAAATGGGTCGTGGATGGGTATTCCTGCATGACAATGACCCAAAACACACGGCCAAGGCAATAAAGGAGTGGCTCAAGAAGAAGCACATTAAGGTCCTTTAGTGGCCTAGCCAGTCTCCATACCTTAATCCCATAGAAAATCTGTGGAGGGAGCTGAAGGTTCGAGTTGCCAAACGTCAGCCTCGAAACCTTAATGACTTGGAGAAGATCTGCAAAGAGGAGCGGGACAAAATCCCTCCTGAGATGTGTGAAAACCTGGTGGCCAACTACAAGAAACGTCTGACCTCTGTGATTGCCAACAAGGGTTTTGCCACCAAGTACTAAGTCATGTTTTTCAGAGGGGTCAAATACTTATTTCCCTCATTACAATGCAAATCAATTCATAACATTTTTGACATGCGTTTTTCTGGATTTTGTTGTTTTGTCTCTTACTGTTCAAATAAACCTACCATTAAAATTATAGACTGATCATTTCTTTGTCAGTGGGCAAACGTACAAAATCAGCAGGGGATCAAATACTTTTTTCCCTCACTGTAGTTAGAAAAGTTCCCATGTGCGGGAGGAGCTTGGTGACATCAACAATAGTCAACATCATGATGGGCTTGGCTTGTCGGGGGTTTCCTGCCTTTGAGAGAAGGAAATAGGGGGCACAGCCTTCCATCAGAGAGACGCAAGTAATGCAGCACAAAAAAGTAAACAATCGTCAATTAATGACGTGACAAGTTGTGCATCTTGCATTAGTTCACATCACACTGACATACAGCGCAACTTCTTAATCGGGGTATTTGCACATTTCAAAACGTTTTGGTTTGAACGTTCTGGCAGGCAGTGCATTGTGAGTGTTAAGTGACATTGTTGAATTACCGGGGTGTTGGCAAACATGGTGTGAAAAGCAACTAATAACAAAGCAAATTGAAAACACCCGTTGAATATATTTCACACACCACACAATCCAAAAGGGGAGTCAATTTAATCTTTAATATCAATAACAAAACCAGGGCGTAGTACAGGCGATCATAATTGCGTAAAGGTGACATTCTGCTATCCTGCACGTGTCCAAACGGGACTATTGTACAAACGGCCAATGACGAAAACCAAGAGGGCACCCCAAGTTAATTTGTTTTCTGACATATAGATGATCCAGCAACCAGTCTACCACGAATGCATTCAAGTGTAAATGCATATGTCCAGCTCAAGTGTTTTGTAAGCTTTTGGGATTTGGCACAATAGAAAACACATCAGGCGCAGTCTCTCAAAATATTAAAATGTCGATATTTTCTGCTGAATAAGGTTAACTCGCATACACTGGAAGGTACCGAATTCCTAATTATACCTAACTACATCTAGCGTTGATTTTTAATGTCTCCATGGGACCTGTAGATACTGTTTCAATGCTGACCTAAATCTTATAACTGAGAATTTTAACTTTGCAGATAAACCAAGTAAAAAAAAATCATGACTTACAATTCACCAAGTGCCACACCCCAAAATATTGCAACACTTGTTGGACATGAACCCAGGTGTGTTGTACACCAGCACCACTCCTGGGGGTGACGAAACGGGGGTTTAACAACATAAATAACCCCTACACAAAAATGGAACATTCCTTAACAGGGCCACCACAACGATTGTAGGCCAATGCCTAGAGCAGGCTATTCCCCACTTCATCTTTAACAACGCATTAAGATAAAACATTTCAAAGCAATGCAAAATATAAATTTTGCTCGAGGAAAACGTCTGGACTATGACCGTACTCAAAATTTCAATACTGCAACTCTTTCCGACAAAAAACTAAATTCTGCACTCAATTCCTTCAGCTTGGGCCTTAGGGTAAGAGTATATGGAGGAATTCATTCCACCATCCAAAGCATTACAGTTTGTATATTCCTCGACTATTTACAGGGTAAGCTTAGTAAAGAATTTACACTTTACTTGTGCTCACTCTCATATACAATGGGAACTTACACACTGCAGCACCTTGCTTTGTCTTGAGCATAAAAGAAGCACGTGAAGTACTGCCAACCTGATGATCAACTGAAAGGCAGCTGCAGTATAACTAGGACATGGAGTTTACTTCCTTGGAATGATCCACACAGCTGCAGTTCCGCAGTGCCAATTCCACGTACTCCATTTCTGAGTTATAGACCAGCTTCTCAACCTTTCCTTTGCCCAGCATTGTTTTGGCTTGGAATGGGCCGCTAAGTCGGGGTAGAAATTATCGCAAATAAAAACATCAAATAATAAAACACAGGTCAAAAATTTACACGATGAAGTTATAATAAAAATCAATTAATGTAATGGTCAATAATGGTCTTTATTATGTCATGCATGGTGTTCATTAGTGCCCCACCTAAATATTCTCAGCATTTTAATATTCAAAATTTTTTTGAAATCAAATGGGTTGTGACTTACCACATCTAATTGTTTGTTGCTTGAAAGTTGCTTCAACAGTGAAAATGGCATACAATCTGCTCACCCCTCCTGCCCATTTCCAGTTGGCCTCTCAAACGTTAAAAGTTTTTAAAAGTATTTTTTTCATATAACTGGAAATATGTATTAGCAAGTCCCTAAACTTCCAGTAAATCGATACTGACCACTGAGAGTATAGAATGTCTTCCATTATGGGAAAACTAATGAAAACTACGTTTTTTTCAATTGCTGTTACATAAATGGCTTGTGTTCGACACAGGCAAAATGCTGCCCACAGGTAATTTGCATAAACCTGGGGAAGGGGTTCAGCTGGCTGAACAGGTAGGGGGTCATGAAAGATGTGGACAGGGTCGATAAGAGTAACAGCCTTAATCGTAGACATGCGGGCAGCGAGATGAAGTCCATGAGTGGGAGCTTGGCTCAGCTTTTCATTGTCGCAAATCCTAACGGCATACCGCACAACACTAACATCAACCATTGTTGTCTGCCTGTTAAAAATTATGCCCCCGCTAAACATCCATGCTCTCGCTTAAACCAAGGCCACAGAACCGGCCAATCACAAAGCAACGTGGACGTCTCGTGCACACGCTGGGGCCGGGCCACTTCACCTATGGCAAGTTTTATCAGGTTTTCCCAGGGCGGCACAAGACGCTGGCGATAAGTGCCAGCTCCTGTGCCATTCGTTTCCCTGGAGGGCTGCACTCTCTTCTACCTGGACCACAGCGGGACATGCTCTTGATTTATATCTAAGGCAACCAATGCTTGGCCACAGTGCTACACGTCTGGTGACTAGGAAAACATGAGGAAGCTCCACTGAAGCACAGGTGGATGAATGTGATGGGACAGGGATAAACAAGGGAATAGTATGGGTGGTGGCGAGGTAAGCCTCAGCAGAGAGAGTTTGGCTGATGGGGCGGTTGATGCTAATGAATAGTGGAGTGGAGCGTGTGTAGTGGGGGCAGGCCTAATACATATTATGGGGCTTTACTGAGCTTGGCTAGAGGGCGAGATTTGGCAGGAGGCGCTATTTAGTAGAGTGCATCCGTGTTGGCGCTCCGTGGCTTCTTGATCTTCTCAATGTTCTTTGTAATGACGTCATGCAAAATCACCTACACCATGCATGAACATGCCGAAGCACGCCGACAAAGACACATACAAGAATTTACATTAAACCATAAATCACATTCTGCACTTGCTCTTCATCAATCTGCCAACTATTATCTATTCAGCATTTTTTATAAATGCTGTTTAAATGTGCGAGAAAAAGACCCAATATTAATTCCTAATAATACACTGCAAAATTGCCCCTGACCCAATCACCTAGAAAACACCCAATATCTAAATTTCGATTTAAAGCTTTCGTGACTGCAAGGATTCATCTTCTTTGGTTCTTTCGGTAAAGTCACGTAGAATGAGAATAAAATAATAAATTGATAAAATAACACAAAAATGTATCAATTTATTATTTTATTCTCATTCTACGTGACTTTACCGAAAGAACCAAAGAACCCAATATCTTGTCAGATTACAGAAGTTAAGTTGAGTTGTGTTTGGATAGTGCTTGGATGCAAACAGGTTGCTAAAAATCTGCAGGGCTCGAACCTTGTGCAGCAGAAGGCAGGGCAGAAAAAAAACTATTTTGTTCTGCACTTTTGTGCTTCCATGTTTCTGCTTCCTCCCTTCGCCAACCACGTACTGACCAACGTGGTTAAATATGGCCAAGTAACCCGAGACCCACAGAGGCATGGGAAGATCCTCATCCAGCAGTGGATTGACAAAAAAGGGCTGTACATGACTGCACAATTAATGTTGTTTTTAAGCTAAAAATATCAAAAACCTTAACACTAACATTCACTGTAAAGGATTTGTTTATGCACTTTGTTCTTCCGTTTGACATCATTCGATAAACTGTGAGCCACGTGTGGTGAGTGTACTCACATAGTGATTGCGCAGCTCAGAGACGATGATTCGGAGGCTCAAGTACTCTTTCTCATCCAGCTCATCCACCGTGCGCCGGTAATCCTCCTGCACAAACGCAAATCCCACGGTTAACTCCTCAGAGGAAGTGCTGTTGCAAAAATGTCAGCTATTGCAGGGTACAGAAATATATTTAGGATTCATGTGGTCAGCCCAATGCATTCACACCTTTTCCCTGCCTTGCACAAGTGACGAAGAACGTAAACACACACTCACGCACACACATTATTGCGGTACACCAGAGCTGTGTTGGTGCGACTTCACTCACCACATGGGGGTACTTGGCCACCTTGGATACGAGCTTTGCCCTGGACATGTAGTATCTAATAAACGACAACAGCATATGTAAAAACTACTTCACCTGCATTTGCAGCAAAATAGTCCAGGTGCACAATGATCAACTGTGAAACCGTAATCGAAAATAAACATACAAACTCAAAAATGCTGTTCCACATGGAACTTGTACACACTACAATTGTTGCTGGCCATGCCCACATTATACATGGCGTGATGAAGTCAACTTGTGGGCAGGGTACTCGGTGATATGGCCTAGCTGTTGCAGAGGCTCACAATTCGATCCGACAGCTGCCCTGTGGGTGTATGAACCTTAAAAATACACAGTCTGCTTCGCAGTGGACGTTAAAGATCCGATTATGTAATTCGTAAGAGTAGGCAATTGTGTGCCGGTATCATGTTCCATATTTGACTAATTCCCTGCACGTTACTGGCATGGAATTATACAAATCAACTATCATCCCCTTCTGGTAAAAACTAGGCAGAACCCTCCTGCAAAAGCCCTGAGACTCAGTGAGGCTTTTATGGTAAAAAAAGTAGAATTATTGTCATAGGTGGATTGTTACATGACAAGACGGCGAGAGATGCATAAGACTTGGGGAGGACTTCATCGAGCGGTGGATTAATCCTGACTGATGACCATCGCCACTCTCTGCCCTTCTAAAGGTTAATACACTTTTCATAGCATTTCTCAATTTTGGTTGAAGACATGCATGCAAACATTTACAAAAACAATTAAATTTACATTATGAGACCTCCTTGGCCAGTAACAAGATATCGTCATCTGGTCGAACACCAGTGGAGACTAGGCTCTAAGAAAAGCCGTCTCGGGTGTGGACCAATCAAATTCAAGGACAGTGCATATTATTATCAGAGTTGTCTCTTTAATTTGCATCTTGACTGCTTGTGTTGTGGTTATTGCAAACATGATGCCTTGAATAAAGGTGTCAGTTTTTGTGCCAGTTAAAAGGGTAAAACCTATTACTATAAACAATGCAATTATGCATGCAATTAAATATTTCGCTAAGTTCATGCATGCGAGTAAGAGGTGACTGAAAAATAAGGGTTTCTTTTCTCAGTTAAAAGAAATTAGATCCACATAATGATCCAAAAGACATTCCATAAGTTAATTTGCAGATTGTCTCACTGAAGTAAACCAAAGCCTCATTTTGAGAAATTACACTTTCAAATTATGCCTGTTGTCACGTGTAGGACTGTGAATTTTAATGTGGCTTTTGAAAAAAAAAAGTACAATCCACATAGTCATGCAAGCATGTGTTTTTACCGGGAAATCTGGTCCAAGAAGGAGGCAGCCTCTCCCTCCACAGTCCTCAACTCTGCAACCGTGTCCTCCTGTTGGTATACACGTTCATACACGTGCATGCAAAAAGACAATTCTTGTTGGACTACATAAGCTGTTGGTGCAAGCGTTATTAAAGAACACCTATTAAGGCCAGCACAGCGCACGAGGCAGTGGATTGGCTAGTACCACTTCTGGCCGCTTCAAGACAAGTGCCGATGTGTACACAACACACGAGGTACTAAATTTTGATTTAAAGCTTTCGTGACTGCAGTGATTCGTATTCTTGGTTCTTTCGGTAAAGTCACGTTGAAGGGATAACAATAAAATATATATAAAACTAAATTTTCACGACGTTTCGACTGATGACGGCTTGTGTTGCAGTCGAAACGTCGTGAGAATTGTATTGTTTTATATATATTTTATTATTTTACTGTTATCCCTTCAACGTGACTTTACCGAAAGAACCAAGAACATGAGGTACTCATTATAAGCCTGAGTTAACCGAGGGAAGGCCTAGGAACTGCTGAGGTATCACTCGTCACTCATGACAGCCGTGGCCGGGAATTGAACTCGGGTAGCTGGGTTTGTAGGACATTGTGCCAACCACCGCACTAATACCACCCATCATGCAAACACAAACACCTAAATAGGCTTAAAGAGTGAGGCACATGCAAAAGCACAAATACAGTAAAACTATATACCAAAAAAAACTTCTAATATACCAAATATTCATAAACGAAATGCACTCAACATCCCAATGCAGTGAATGATCGGGCCTCTAATGGCTGCCAAGGTGTCAAACTCTTTACATGCAACATATGCATTGAAATACATACACAGAATAAGATCTACATCTTGTAGATGTAGGAATGTTTATGATTTGATGAATCATTATAAACCCATATTAAGTTGTGCATATTTGTCCGCTTTGTCCTAAGATCACAAGCAAATGGTAAAGGTTAATACCTGAACAGACACGCCAAAGTTGTTTCCGTCTTCAATCTTGGGGATCATCAACTGAATCCACATCTTCACCTGCAAGGAGCCACAGAAACTTAAGGGACATGCAAAACTCCTGGTAGCATGGCCTTGGGCCAGCAACTTCACGAACAGCAGACAGAAATTGTTATTTTAATGTTGTCAGTTGATATATTAAATTCCTTTGGGTGGATTCTATTAAGTGACAATGTGTAAATTAAGTTGGGTCTTCGGTCCAAGGAGAAAGCTGGTACATTTAAGTAATTTCTACAATTATAGGAAGACAGAACATTAGGTTTCTTTTGCAGCAATAATTTTTTATGTGACTGTAATAATAATCACATTGGATGAAAGTGAGAATAAGCTTCATGTAAGCCATTTACTTATGCCCTGGGAAAAAGATACAGGAGTTATTTTAACCGCACAATATACTACCGCGTGCTACACATGAGTGGCAAATCTTCCATTGAAAGAAATAACAATGGGAGAAGTGGTCATATTTGGTACAGAAATGTCGTTATAGTCTGGCAAAGAGCACTTGACGATTCAAGGACAAGAATCCAGATTCATAGCTTGACAAAACAGCTGCAACACAGCTTTGGCAATTTCCTCTATTGTTGATGACCGAGACAATCAGTGTGTTTCCATCAAAAGTTTGACTAAAGGGATACATTTTGGCAGTAACACGTGTATCTGACCTCTTGAGTTAAGTGAAAGCATACAAAAGCGAAGTCATTTGACTGTAGTGAACACGTAAGAGTGTGGATTATGCGAGCGAAACTCACGGTGTTACACTTGTCCATGAGCGTCCGTATTTCGGGTTTTATTCTCTCGATAAGCGCCACTAGCTTGGGGTTGCTCTGCACCATGCCGTTGAGAAACGCGTACACCTTTGTACCTGCCACACAAAAAGGGAGACGTAAAAAGAAAGCCTACTCATTAGGCAAGGTCACATGTATTTTATACTATTTCAACATGGTTTAAAAGAAAACCGCAAACTACACAAGGCACTGTGCTTTATATTTGAATAAGTAATAGTTTCATATCACAATACCAAGTATTATAGGTGAATGATTGAAATTAAAGTTGTCTTTTGATGGTGATGAAGGGTGTGAGCGTTTCCTGAAATGCATCAAGAACTAAGATTTTTTCCAGTAACCTCAAAATATCTACTATAATAATTTCAAGAAATTTTAAGAGTACTGCTCATGAAGAATATACCAGTAATTCATTAAGAACGACTTATAAAAAAACCTTGCTCTTAACGTTGCAGTAGAGAACACATCAATTTTCAATAAAGCTTGGCAGAGGACATATAAAGCAAGATTTAATTTGTGGTGAAACTTGGAAGGGGTTCAAACTCCCCTTAATGTCACATACCTTCACACTGTTCTTCCTCCGCTGCTATCTTCCTTTTCTTTCCCTGATGCTTGAAGACACACACACGAGCTGATAAATCTATGAGCAATGACACTTCCAAGTTGCTGATGGAGAGCACTGGGAACCAAATTTGACACAAAACTTATTTTGCGATACTGCGTTGGCGGTGGTACGCGAGCACAAATAACACACTCATCACATCTACAGCAAAGAGATAATCTCTCTACGATAGAGGACTATTTCCTTGAAACAATGCCTATTATATAATGTACTAGCTTTACTACCCGGCTTCGCCTGGGACTTGGATTCTTGTCTTGGATTAATACACGGCCTACGCGGAGGGTTGGGGGGGGGAATGCATGACGTCACCAGGCACATTGCATAACGCTGCCGCATGCGGGTGACGTCACAAATGTGATGTCACCGCTCACTTGCCGTGCAAAATGTATCAATTATTGCGCCCCCCCCCCCCCCCCCAAAATACAATAGTCTATTTTTATACTTTTTGCATTGTGTACAGTCTGGAAACTACCCACATGCCAAATTTCAAGTTTGTTGCATGTCGGGAAGTATGCTAAACATTTCGAACAGACACACATTCCCAAATTTCCCTTTGATATGTATAGATTATTCCCTTTAGGTCAGTGCGATTGACAGTGTGATACAGTCGTGTTCAATATGCATATTTGTTAAGTACATCTGTATATTAAATGTGTGCATATATATGTGCGCGCGCATGGCAGCATGCTCACATTATCCAATGCATTGTCGTGGCTGTTGGTGATGAGAACAGGCTCAGGAATAGGGATGTTGAGGTCAGAGTGCAGGCCCACCAGGTCCGTTATGTTTAGACATTCCTCCTGACCAACACACACGCACAGAACAACTGAACACGCACAACAAGAAGCCCCTCAGTCCTGGCTGAGCTGAAGGCCCACTCAGTTAAATCGTGGCCTCGGGGATAATTGGAGCATCACGCTCGATGAAAATCCCTGTTTACTCTTTCTTAAAACATCGACTACTGGTAGGAATTGGTAAATATAAAGATTCGTCCATTCTATGAGATTATCCATCCATTGCAGTATCAGTAATTATATTGGCCTTTGTCCACTTACACAACCTTGAATGTTTATTTGGGAGTCCACCTATCCTTATAAGATGTCTGAACACTGGAGTGTTCTTATAGGTATGGATTGGTCTCTCAAATGATATTTCCCTTTCTGCCTTTATGATAACAAACTCATAACTCATGCGTAGTGTACAGCATTTTGAGAACACTGAATGCGTTTACTTTAAAATAAAGTATGGGCCTCTCAGCCTCTGCTGTCACCTTTCACACGAGTAAAAAGCACAGAAGAATCCAGACAAATCTATTTTTATTTTCAATTATATGGCTGTAATTCCATATGATATTGAGCTTCTTCGGAGCTGCTGTCACCTGTGTCATTCTTGACTTGACTTAAAATATTTACGTGAAGTCTTCAGTTTTGAAGACATCAGTGACAATAACCTGCAGGTTATCAGTGCTCATCTCAGTAAAATATAGTCTTGATGAAAGATCTTGAGATTCTCACTGAGAGGACAAGGGGGCCCCATTTTATTCCTTGCACCAGGGCGCATGACAACTACACTAAGCCACTGCACAAAATGGTCAACACTGAAAAGGGATGTGTTGAATGGGTCACAAGGAGTTTCTTGCATGGCTCTTGCCTGTATCACCAGGCAACCCAAAAATGATATAATAGGCCACACACTGCTGATGACACTCAGAGAAATAAAACTGGTCCACAGTGATTGCAAGCTTGTTTTTTAATTCCTGCTGTGCCAATGCACCATGGATCTCCCCTGAAATATAGCAGGGAAACTGGATGAAGGGGACTGTCCTTGTAACAAATCAAGTAAACTCAAGCTTAATCAAATTCTGTGAGAAAACACTAACCCAGGTCTTTCGGCTGCAATCCACCAAGATGACGCATACTGCATTTTTACAATATGCATCGGCTGGTCATGTTCAGATCCTCCCTTAAAGTAGTTCATCTGATTCAGCCCAGACTTGACTCAAGCCACACTGTGACGAGTGGGTGGGCACGGCACAAGTCAGCGTGGTATAGCGTAGTAAAAAAAATACCCCGCCAACACGCAGTATGGGGAGGCCCTCATCCAGCAGTGGACTGACAAACGGGATGTATGTGGACAAGTCACATACCTGTAGGAAAGTGTCGAGTTCTGACAGCTTTTGAGGAAAAAGGTTTGCCACCAGATCCTCTGCCTAAAATGAACACAAACGTCAGAAGAGGAAATAACATTTAAATTGATTAAACCTTATTGTGAGAACTTTTTCAGTTAACTCAATACGCTATCAAATTAAACGGCGATATACACTGCAGCCTAGGAATAACAATCCAACTGTGTGTTTTCCATATCCGATGTCCACACTTTTACCTCGCAACAAATTCAAATTGCCAATTCGTTATAGTTCCATGAGTCAATGTTTTCCTAAATCTAACATTTTATTTAGCTAGGTCTCCCAAAAACCATTATCGCCGAGTGTCACCGTATTGCCAAAAGCTTAAAAAACTTTTAAAACATTGGTAAAATAACAACGTATACATTAGATGTGAAAGTATTATACATTCAAACATTTTGTAGGGTTTCAGACCACCATAAGATTTAATCTTAATTTAGCACTGCAACTATTTGCTTTTAAAAACACAGATATCATCTCCATAGGCTAATACAGGGGTGGGCAAATTTTTTGACTCGCGGGCCACAATGGGTTCTAAAATTTGACAGAGGGGCCGGGCCAGGAACAGATGGACGGTCAAAGTGCACCAACTAAATGGGGAAATGGGGGCATTACAGGAGAAAGGTAAAATTTAATTTAATAATAATATTTGGACAAGTTCGGCAGGCCGGATTAAAAAGCCCAACGGGCCATATACGGCCCGGGGGCCGTACTTTGCCCATGTCTGGGCTAATATAAATATGAAAAAAAACTGGATTATTTCACTCACCTCGGCACTAATTCTTTCCTTGAACATCTCAACCTGCAATGAGAATGCACACAAAAAGGTATGATTACATGATTATATACTACATGTACATTATTTCACTAAGAATCTATAGCAAAGGCCAAAATTCACCAAGGGAGCTCAGTTACCGCATAGTTATTTCAGCCAAGTCAACTCCGTTGAGACAGACTGTATAACAGGATCATGATAGCATAAGCCCGGCAGAGACACACTGTTACAAGTCTATTTTTAATCACCCTGTGGCAAAATTATGCATTAAAGAAATAATAGCTGTCCGTCCAACTCTGGCACAGCACATAATGTGCATAATTCTCTTGTGTGTTCTCAATAAATATTTTTCAGTATGGTTTCCATTTCAGACTTCAGATCAGAACAATGCCCCTGTTTTTTGCCTTTTTTTTAATACTGGCTCTCATGTTTCGTTCCAAGTTTGATAAAAGGCAGCCCAAGGAAATGTGGAATTTATTTTGGCGTATAAATTAAAGGAAAAGGCAATCAAGCACCAAAGCACAAACCTAGCTAAACTCCTATGCCCTCAAATAGTGTGTTAATTATGGCATGAAGACAAAAACAAAGTGGTGCACATACTGTATATGGAAAAACAATTTCCAAAGCAAATCTATTCCATGTTTGACTTGCCTCTTGTCTACATCATCAAATGGTTGTCTGGAGTTCTGTTACTCAGCAGAAGCCGAGTAGTAACAGCTTCAAAGACTAAAGAGACTGTCACTGCAACACCTGGAGAGGCACTGCAACTTGGATGTCTTTAACAATCATGCAAGACAACCGTTGCAGATGCGTATCGTGGAACAATGAGATTGCTTTACCTATACCCACCCAATGAAAACGAATGTTCGAAGACGGCTCACAAACCCTAAAGCATACCCACCAGCAAACGACACACGTGACACGATACATTTAGCCTGTACACATGCAGCTCTTGAGAGTTCTCTAACCATACTTCACCACGTTGGTCAGTGTGGGTTGGTTAAAGCAGGAGGAGTGACGTGCATAGTAGTTGAGTGCACTGCCTCCCTCTGTTGACCGACACGTAGCTCTGCACATGCTGATAAATACGCTGGACTAGCGTATCCTGGGCATCCTGTACGGCTACTCATGAATACTGTATATTAACACATGAAAAATACATGTACCTACTTCTGTCACACGCTGCCAAAGTTTACATGTTAACATTCCCCTTCGCTCTAAATAGTTTTATAACCATATGCCTCGTACGTGTGAATTAGTACAATCAACATTAACATTTATTTACTTAATGTATTTAAAGCAGGAACGTTTGTGATGTAATTTTGTACAGAAGCTTTTTATTTAAGGAACTGTGTGGTATTATTCTGTGGACGTGTATTTTATTTACGGTGCAGTTTTACTCAAAAGCATTTCACAATGTACAAAACACATTTGGCAAAACGTGCAACTGCCAGAAAAGGTCACAACTGGACACTTTCATCAATAGCTTTAGCAACTAAACTCATGTTCCTGACAAAACACACGCGTGAAGAGGAACCCTGAATAGGCATTATCCTTGCGCATGCTAAATGGCATAAAAAAACACAATCACGATACTTTCTACCTGCAATTCTCGTCTAATGGGTCTTTGAATCGGTAGCTTGTTTTCAGAATACATGTGCCACATGCCATGCACTTTTCAATGTGGACATATGTATTAAACTATTCAGTTTAGATGATGTATCATCATACTATATCTATTGCTTTGTTATTATTATTCTCGCTTCAGTGGGCATTTCAAGCAGGTTGCCAAGTAACTGCGCTGAGTGTTTTGCTGTTTCGGTGGTATTGTAGCCAAAATGTAAAGCGATATTGTGAGCTAGGAACATTCATGTGTAGGATTGCATTAACCACGGGCCTACAGATATAGCGACTAACGAACATGATATCTGTGTGTTATTCTAGAAAAAAACAAAACCAGGTTATAATAATTTCACTGTTCCCAGGGATAGTTCATGCCATTTTTTATGAAAGTGATATTACTGTAATGGGTATACATCCTGACAGCCATCCTATACAAAATCAGCGGATAGTTTAATTTAAATAACTCAAGGGGCACTGTCACACACTTGCAATCAAAAGCAGTGTAAAGGGAAAAACTTCACTGAATGTGTTTTATGCAACTGGCCACAGTTCCTCCAGAACAGCAAATTTGAAAATGTATGTCCAGTCACAAATGGCTGTAAAAGGAAAGGACATAAGCTAATGTTACTTTATTTGGCTAAGGTATGCCAGCCCCGAGGGTTCGTGTATCAAAATGTATTGATACCCCCCCCCCCACCATCCGCGTAGGCCGTGTATTAATCCAAGACAAGAATCCAAGTCTCGGGGAAAGCCGGGTAGTAAAGCAAATATAACAATAAAAACAATTCACAGCCTCCTGTTAATCAACTGTTGGATGAAGGCCTCCCTGCACCGTGTTGATTATGGGGGTTGGTCATACTTCACCACATCAGTCACTACATGTTCAAGGGTGGGGGAGGGACAATTACCGGTCCAGATATCGCTGGTGTTAGCCATGCTCAGGATTCACACTTATGTCGCAATGCATACATTCCTTGCTGATTTATTATGTAACATTTACAATTTTAAAAAATCTTTTGACTATTTAATATGCCTCAATCATTGAAAGCTCTGTAGACATTTTGGCAGCCCTGCACCAGTGGTGAAAAACCCACATTATGGTGATGGAAAGATAATCCACAGGTCAACCAGGAGGGATGACTTGGGGGGGGGTCAATTTGAACTCGCATGCTTCCGAATCTGAGTGTGTACGTTTTGCCCACTGCCTCCTGTCCATTTGTCATTGTGAACATAATTAAATTAAAATGTACAGCTGTCAAACCACTGCTGAATGACGGCATCCCTACGCTGTGGCAGTTATCGGTGAATACATGTTGGAGCAGTTCAGATACCACTAGGCGATGGCTGATCATGATTATAACAATTATACAGTACATGTTGATCCGGGCAGACCATGGCTGACAATGGTGATATCAGGATATTATGCTTCTTATCTCATTCTTGAAAACTATATTCTGCTTATTTCTCATAGGCATGACGATTGGGCACAAATAGTTGGAATTTCTCTTATTATAATTTTGCCTTTAATCGACAAAGTACAGACCAAGTTTGATGACGTGGCGATATATTATCCTATTCCTGTTATTCATGAGAGGATGCATTCAGCAGTGGACTGTGGCTGGTGGCAATGACTGCCGCTTTCGAGTATCTTATTGATGACGGTGCCTTCGTCTACAAGTGGACAGGACATGCCTACAAATGCGACGATTACGAAAATGTACACGATGTTGATAACCGCACTATTTCCCAAAAGAGAACGTAACTGGGAATGTATAGGTTTTTTTTAAAAGAACACACGAAGGTTAACAATGTAACCGCCTGAACTATATTAAGCGGTCTTGGTTAGGACGCGTCGCTGGAAGGGATAAATGAATGGTCAAGAATAATAATAACCGTGTCGCAGCCGACAGCAAATGGAGAGACGAGATCAGTTCATGCGCAGAGCAGATTTGTTGCATCGCAGCAATCGTGCGAGGTGGCGGCTTGAGGTATTCATCCAGCAGTGGATTGATCACAACTGACAAAGGCTTATCTATTTTAATGAAAAGAATATGCCTTAATACAGGCATGGACAGACCGTGGATTTACTTGATGATTTATCCGTCACGGCCTCAAGCGGGGTATAACGGACGAATATTTCGACATTACATCGATGATGAAATGTTAAAATGTACATTCCTTTGTCAACCTGAAGGGATGAAAAAGGCCTTCCCTTACGTCATGGCGTTCTTTGTTTTTATTAAACCTTACGTTGGTCGGTGCGGGTTGATGAGGAGGGAAACACGGACCAATTCAAGTATCACTTGCTACTGGTGTTAGCCGTGAACAGAAACACAACCCAGGTGGTCGGGTTCACAGCAAAAAGCGCCAACCACTCACTGCGCCACCATACATTCCCAAGATAAACAGGCCACATCACCAGCGGCTATTAATCATAGGTTTTTTTTTGTACTACAAATTACACCTTCATCCAGAATTAACTCCACGCCAGCCGATGAAAAACAAACATTCCGCTGACTTAATGTCTCCCGTTTCACAATAACGCCGCCTCCATTCAGCAGCGGAATCCCCCCCACAGTGCCGCGGCTGATGACGGTGCCATTACTCCTTGAGCCGCTGCCTCTTCCCTGTCAACTGGCACCGCAACCACAACCCAAGCCGTCGCCGCGACAAAAAAGGGCTCACATGTTCGACTCGCCGACCGATTAAAGCGATCGCGTCTCTCGTCGCGCCGGGGAGCCCCACGTGGGGAGCGTCCTGACCCTGGGCCCGGCGCAGGCTCGAGGCCCGCGCGAGGCCCAGGCGACGACTCTCCCCCACCCCCTCACCCCCGCAACCCGACCGTGCCGGCGGTCCGCTCGCTCGCTCGTCCGCTCGTTCGCTCGCTCGCCTCCCCCCTCGCTCACCCCACGTCCCTGGACGCCGCGGCTCGCCGCTCGCGCGTCCCTGCGCACCTTCTTGGTGATCTCGCCGTCCAGCTTGAGCAGCGCGGACATTCTCGTTGCGTACGAGGGGGGGAAGGGAGGAGCGAAGCGCCGCGGCGTTTGTACGCGGAGTCCCCCACGGAGTCTCCTACCGCACCGGGGGGCGGGGCGGTGAGTGGGGGGCGGGGCGGTGAGTGGGGGGCGGGGCGGTGAGTGGGGGGCGGGGAGTGGGGGGCGTGGCGGTGAGTGGGGGGCGGGGCGAGACATCGACTGGCGGGGAAGGGGGGGGGGCGCTTCCCCTCGCCCGGCGACTCGCCTCGGGTGCGCATGCGCAGGGCGAGGCCTCGCCCACGTATAGCACTGGCTCCACCCATGTGACGCGTGGCCCCACCCATGTGACGCGTGGCTCCACCCATGTGACGCGTGGCTCCACCCACACGTACCGCGTGGCTCCACCTACACGTGACGCGTTGCTCCACCCACACGTGCCGCGAGGCTCCACCTACACGTGACGCGGGCATACCGTGTCAACCCATATTGGGTTTACCCTGTATTCTTGTACAGCGAAATTGAGTTTCCAGGTCCATACGGCGTACAGCCGTTTCAATACGGGCAAAAACAATTATTGTCTATTTGTTTGTGTTTCTTCCTTGTGATGGGACTTTGTAGGATGAACGTTGAGATTTATAAGGGCACGGGGTGACCAATAAGGTGTCAACTGATCCATTTATTTGGTATAGCCCTGTGAGCCATTCGGCTCTTGAGTCGGGTGCAACCGCAACAAACAAAACCATGAACAAGAAAAACATCTAAGGGTCTCCACACCACGCGTGCGGGCAGACGCAGCTTCGTCCACCCACCCATTGCCTGCTGAACTCGTTTGTTACCTCTCATTGTACACTACTGTTGTTCTAAAAGGGAGTTTTCGGAGTCACGAAGTCGTCCAGCTACATCTTCTGGCCCCCACCTACCACACTCAAGTGCAATGCAATCGAGGGGTGATATTGTCTTGGTGTGGTCTTGGTTGTTTTGCTGCATTTCCCAAGCTTGCATTTGATCTTGACCAACAAAGGAGAGATTTGATCTTGACAAATAAGCAGAAATATATGCACTAGTGCAATTTGTACTTCCATGATTTATTTATATTGGTTGTTTAAGTTACTTGCTTAACTTGTCTCTTCATGTTTAACACGTAGGCTTTCGCGACCAATATTATTCATAATAAAGGTTTTTGGGGTAGATCGCGTTTATTTATAAATGTGTCGTAACCCTCCACCACCCGACACGGCCAATCAGCAAAAAAAGTGTCACGTTGACAAAAGACAAATAATTCACTACTTCAGCCCACCGGTGTGTTGAAGAGTTAATCCATATTTACAGTTTGAGTACGACGTTTCGCTGGTAAATACATCCAGCATCATCAAGCAATTCGCCAGAATGGCGAATTGCCAGAATGGCGAATTGCTTCATGTGGTGGAGGGTTACGACACATTTATAAATAAACGCGATCTAACCCAAAAACCTTTATTATGAATTGTCTCTTCATGATTGTCCTTTCATGGACTGTAGTTTGCTGACCCGCCTCGACTGGACGTCTGTGATAAAGTATCTCATCAGATTCCTCCAACATAAAGATTCTGATTCACGACCTACTATCCCCACACCACTACTTACTATCGGGCTATTGCCCGAAACGTTGCCTATTACGCGTCACTTTTAATGCAGAGGTATTTAAGAAAGTATTGAGCGGATTTGTGAGTGTGCACCACTGCTAAGGCAGAATCTAACGCAAAGTAATGTTTAATTTTGTTATTTATATTCTCAAAAACACTGATAAATTAATCGTTTTAACCCATATCTTTGAGGTCCCTTGCCGATTAGCACGATTGGCTACGTACGGTGCGAAAGAAGTTCAACATACAGTACACATAAATAACATCTGGCAGCTCACTAGCATTGACTCTAGCAAGCCTGACTGGTGATTTGACTATTTTGTCAAAACCGGCCCAGTTGGCTTAAATCAATAAGAATGCAATTAATTACACGCACAATATTTCAGAGCTATAAACGACCGTGACTCACTTGAGTCAATGACTCTGTAATTATGCACTCCTAACAAGGCTTGTGCGGCTGATAGTTTGTGTAATACTTTTTTTAAGCGGAGAGGCGGATGTCCGCTTTGCTGTTTTTAAACAATTCGCATATGTATTCGATATGCGTGACCGGCAATCATAGCAATTAATCTTATATAACACAATTCTGGGTACGAGTTGATTTCAGGAATCGCATTTGAATCGATACCGCTGCCAACCCCGTGAAAAAATATTGGTCCAACAAAGGCGTCCGGGCGTGGTGCTGGCCACAACAACCCAGCCACTCGTGTGTTGTGCCCGGCCTTCATCAGTGCTCGCTGACAGCACTTGCCCCCAAGAGTCTGTGAAGGCTACACGGGGGAGCTTTGTCTGAGACGGAAATCGTTCTGAACGTGTTCGGTCCGCCTTCTCCCACGTGTCTGGGTAGCACGCGGTGGGGGAGGGGGAATAAGGGGGGGAGGGGGAATAAGGGGGGGTGGGAGGGGATAAGGGGGGGAGGAGGAATAAGGGGGGGTGGGAAGGGATAAGGGGGGTGGAGGGGATAAGGGTGGGTAGGGGGGAAGGGGGTGGAGGGGATAAGGGTGGGTAGGGGGGGGAGGTGGAGAGGGGGATGGTGGGGATAAGGGGGGTGGAGGGGGAAGGGGATAGGAGGGGGTGGGGGGCAAAGGAGGGGGATAGGCAAGGGGGGGAGAGGAGGGGCAAGGGGGGCTGGAGGGGCAAGGTGGGGGGGGGCTGGAGGGGCAAAGGGGGGGGCTGGAGCCGTGCGCGCAGTGCGCATGCGTGTTGTCAGGATGACGCAACCACGACTGCTTGATCCATGGCGCGCGCACTGCGCATGCGTGGGGTGATTGCCAACACGTGGTGGGGCTCAGGGTACAGTCAAGCGGGGACCCAGTGGGTCCGAGACCAGGGCAGGCCGTCCACTCAACATCACGACGACGCATTCGTTACTGAACACTGTGACCTTAAAAGGCGAAAAGACGTTTCGAATAATGGCCCTGCTTTATAGGAGACAGGAACGCTCTTAAGAGGGCAATCCCCTCCACCCCCGTTACCCCCTTGTGCAACGCGGCCGGGCCCTTGTCACCAAATATTTATAAAAACAAATTTAGGGGACAAAATAGACGTCTACTCACAATGCAGACGGCAAATAGTGCTTGTATAAATGTTACGATTTTTACAAAAATACTTGTACGCTCATTTAAAAAAAACACCATTGGAGGCATCACGGGAGAAAAGTTTTTTTATTGCGAGTGAAAACAGTTTGTGATGAACTAGTTCCAAATATACAACTTGTCAATTAAAAACTGCATGTCAACGTGAACGCAACAATGTAACCTTTCGATTTAAAACTTTCGTGACTGCAAGGATTCATCTTCTTTGGTTCTTTCGGTAAAGTCACGTAGAATGAGAATAAAATAATGTGTTGTGGCCGAAACGTCGTGAGAATTTTATTGTGTTATTTTATCATTTTATTCTCACTCTGAGTGACTTTACCGAAAGAACCAAAGAAGATGTAATCTTTGTGTTTTTTTTTCCAATTTCGAGGGTGCTTAAAAAAAAACGTTAACACTTCCGAGAATTTCCAACACAAGAAATGTGCCGTCTCTCGGGCTCTTTGGGACCACCTGGACAAGATGCCAGGCGTGTGTTGACAACGATGGCGAACAAGCGGAGACTGACTTTTTGAAGCTCTTAACATACATTTGTTACCATGCTAAAGTGTATTCGTTTGTTGTCCCATTAAAAACGATAGTCTCGTATAAGTGTTTAAAAAAAAGTGAAAGCCACCCTGTATATCCTCTTACGCTATACAGAGGGGCTATATATAGCACGAAAAGTGAACGTTTATAATTCCAGTTAAAGACCACGTCCGAATATCATTTGCCACTGGTGGCGAGAGGATCGTACTGAGGTTACCCTAGATAATATAATCGATGAACCACTAAACAATATGCAGTAAATACAGTCACGATGTTTAAGATGGACGCAGATGTCTCGTGACCGCCATTGAATTATCTAAAACTAATTACGTTTTAAGGTTGATTTAAAACAGGAAATAAATGTTAGGGTTTCAATTAATTGTGGGTCACAAGACATTTGGAGCACCCTGCACAATGCTAATTACTCACGTGGAGATATATTTTTGGTAAACTTTCCCACCCAATTACATTTTTAAAAATAAATATAAAGTAACATTTTGACACGTTCTTATAGCTAAAACAAAGTTTGTTTGTTGACGTCATTTTCAGTCGCGAGACTCAACTGGAAGTGACGTCATTCATTATGATGACGTCACGACGGGCCGCGTGTGTATATATAAATGTGCAGGGTGGCTGACACGCCCTTCTCGGTCGGGACTTCAAGGCCCTGGTCACCAAGGTACGGCGCTGCTGCAATCCGCATCCATCCGCTTCGTTACTCGCTGCATCTCGCTAAAATTCTCACCGCATGGAATGCGGGAGGTTGTCGTCCATCCTCGTACGCAGTCTCCATTATTTTTTATTTTAATTGTAATCGTGGGCGGTGGTGCAAGTGATTGGCGCTATGTGACACGATTATTGATTTGAGCATGTGGTCGCACAGGCGGCTAATGCGTTCATAAAGCCGCAATGCTCAATGCAGTGTCTGAGATTGTGGATAATGCGTTTATTGGTAACTTTTTTTTTGGTAGACCTAATAGTTAAAATGAGCTAATGTAAACTGAGCCAATGGCCGCATCGGACGGAATTGCGCCGAGTCTCGGGAGCTTAGCAGGAATTCGGCCTGGATAGCGTTCAGCAGGCTACCTCAATCCATGACCATTATGATGATGGTGAGCCTGGTAGGCGGAAAACTTGGCGACGTGCGGTGCGGAAGAAGTTAAACATGCATACAGATGGCAGTGCAGCACCATAAGGTTATTAATATTTCACACTCCCATGTTTACTGTATGTGCTTCCGGCCTCTAATCAAATCCGCACTGACCGGCGTGATGAAGTATGGTCAAATCCCAGCAAATGAATTGACAAAGGCTGAATGGCTGAACGTGCAAACGTAACCTGGAGATGCTTCATTGTTCCTGCAATCCTTAATGCAGATGT